AGTTGGGCCAGCTTATTTATTAGCCCAAATTGAGCACATTGGTTTTTTTATTTTTTTACTATATAATAAAAGTGAAATAACTCGGCCTGCCCCGCATTTAAAAGGAGCATATGGGGCGGAGTTGGTATTTTGTCTACCGAAGTAGGAGTGGAGATGGTATTACAATTACAAACCCGTTATAGAGTAGGGACGTAGTTGGTATGATAGATTTTCTAGCGGAACAGAGTAGGGTTTAGCCAAATCCCCTCCATTGCCATCCCTACCCACATTTAGCATATCCATCAGCTACTTCGCACAACACTAATGTAGAATTTAGCTTATAATCTGGTGTGAACTCCACAAAGTGGAGAAGCTCACACCAAGCGGTTTAATTCGCCATAGCTTAAGCCATTGGCCAAATTAGCTTGCGTCGTGGATGCTCTTACAGTGAGTTTAGGAAGAGAGTTAAAAACTCGCAAAGCTCCAAACTACCCGATTAATAACTAATATAAAAATAAATATTCTTTTATTAGTTATAATTGATCCTTATTTCTTATGATAATATAACATTTTAACAACATTTTTGTTATTATAATAATTAAATATTTCACTATACAAAAATAAAATAAAATAAAAGAAATACAAAATTTATCTTAAATTTGTTTAAGTTTTAATTATTTTTTATAAACAAAATGCATCCAAATTGAGTTTGAGAAAATATTTTCATTGGTGAAAACTAATTTTGTTGAAACATTGATAGTTAAACTAACACTCAATGGATTTAAGGAAATTAAACAAAAATAAAGTGTATTGAAAAAATAAATAAAAACTTAATAGATAATTTGAGAAAATAGAAATTTTAAGGGGGCATTATATGAATTTTTTTTTTATATATTCATGAAAAAAAACTTAAATTGAGTATATATATTATAGTAAGCGGGACCAGGCCAGGTGCCGTTGGCATACGCCGGCTTCGTCAAATTATTCACATTAATCATAATTAAATAAAAATTGTTTGTGATTTATAAATAAAATGAAAATATGAGTTACTACATATTAGTTTTTTTTATTTATTTATAAATACTTCGTATTAGTTTAGTACATGGATTTTAATACGGACTCCAAAGAAATTTACTAGTTTGCTAACTCATCTATTATTAAAGACCGATATTAATTCGGAACCCCACACATTGTGAGTGAATTTATATCGTTCAACCATTGGATTTCCTATGGAGTGCCACATGTCAAATGTCTTCCTAATGAAGGTAAAAAGTAAAACAACCCAATAATCCAAATAGAGTGACATGGTTTCCTATTGTATTTTGTACATGTCCCAAGTCGGGTGAAAATGGTTTCATGCACAAGTTTCAGTAGTTTAAAAATTAAAATATATACTTTACAAAAAATTAGAGTATATGCTGAACTAGACGAAAATAAAGTCATCGTGTTCCACTCCAAAATATTAAATCTAAATATATTTTTAACACCACAGAAATAGAAGCACAAAAGAGTGCTGCTGTGATAGTCCAGAGACAAGACAGTGGTAGTTTGGAGCCTTTGACCTGAGTTCGAATCCCACTTCCATCTTTTCCCATCCCCTACTAACATTGCCAGCTAAAAAATTAATAAATGGAAGCACAAGATTTTGATTGGTTTTTTGAGAAATGGGCCAACATGGCCATTTGAAAAGAGTGGGACCCATGTATGTATTATTCGAGTCCATTGCATTGCATGCCGACCAAACTAATTACACACGTGAAGGCCACGTCTTATCCCAAAAAGTAAGATACACGACACATCTGTTCTTGACTAGTACAGTAATTTTATTTCGAACAGCATATATTTATTTATTATTTTAATATATTACTGTATTTGTTTTTGCTGAAAGAGACAAAAATAAAATAAAATAAAAATAAACACCATCAAGCCATTAGTTGAAACGAAATATAATATGTGAAACTTTGATTATTAGGCGCCGTATAAAATATTTTATTATTTTGATGTTTAATTGTCGTAAAATATTTATTAATAAAAAAATTATTAAAAATTTAATAAAAATAATTTACTCATCAAATTTTATTAAATTATTTTATATAGGATTCGACATCAACTTTGATTTAGAATTTTGTCAAATATTGGAAAAAATAAAAATTAAAAAATATTTTAAGAAATTTTTTCCCGAAATTGATGGAGCCTTAATATTGAAAAATGATAGCAGGACATGTGTATGCTGATTAAATTTTATATGAGGATTTTCGTTACCTTTAAAACTATTACGAAAATAGAATTTAAAATACTAACTTTCATAAACCAATTTAATCCTTTGAAAATTTGGTACTTAGAATTATTAAAAGATTAATTGCACCAACATACCAGTGGTCTAACGGTATCAAGTCCCTACATCTCAAAGAGAGGTCAGGGGTTCGAGCCTCTGTGGAAGCATGTGTGTGAGTACCCAACTAGGAAAAAAAAAAAAATTTAATTGCCAAAAAAAAAAACTGTGAGTGAATTTATATATATAGGAACATAATTGCAAAAACAATGTGTTACAAAAATTAAGGAAAGTGAAAAAGAATTATTATCTAGAAACACAATTCTTCTCTAAGAATATAATTCTAGTATATAAATAATTATATAATATTTATATAGGGTATAAAAATGATGTTAAAAATATTAAAGAAAGTACGTCCTGTTATATAAATAATTATTTTTTATATAGTAAATCAATATAAATGGTAGCTAAAATGATACATACGTGTTTAAAATATATTAGATAGAGAAACCTTAAAAAGAGAACACAATTATACGAGGGTAGAGTAGTCATTAAAAAGTTATTTTTTAAACCCAACCATTTACCGTTCTTCTGCGATAAGTAATCTTTTTCATACTTAAAATTTTGGCTTATTTTAAATCTTTTAAATTGAATTTATTATATTAAATGATATTCTAAAATTTTATTAAACAAATTTATTTTAAAAAATTACTTATCATGTTTTGCATTTATCGCTGACTAAAACAAATATTTTAGCACTACTTTACCCAAAAACAAAAGGGAAGAAGGATGAATTATAGAGGATGGAAAAAGTAAATATCTATAAATAATAAAGCCAAATAATTAAAGCAAAAACCTTTGTCCAAACGTTTGGCCAACTACTCTCTCAGAATCAATCCAACTCATCAACCAACTCCTATATTTCTAGAGAGAGAAATAAAGAACCCTAGAGAGAACCCTAGAGAGAGAGAGAGAAACCAACTCTTATATTTCTAGATAGAGAAATGGAGAACCTAGAGAGAGAAGAGATCTTATATTTCTAGAGAGAGAAATTGACCTAGACGAGAGAGAGAGAGAGAGAGAGAGAGAGAGAGAGAGAGAGAGAGGAGAGGAATGGTGATGGGTTGGCAGTATGTTAGATGATGCTTTTGGTGGGGTGGGCATCCTGAAAATGGTCTGTTTGTTCAGACACACTTCTCTTGTCGTGGTGGGATTATAAATGTGCATTTTTCAACGAATCAAAATGTGACATCCAAATTGCATTAATAACATATGTGTGGACCAACTTTCAGAAACCGTTTTCTTTTACTACTCCGTATCTCTTTCCCTTTTTAATACATGCAAAAATAAGCCAATAAGTACTTAAAAAACCAAAAATACTGAGTAATATACACTAACATTAGGCTAGCATAGAATATCTTTCAAAAAATTATTTTATGTGTTTTTTGATAATTGATTATTGGAAATATTTATAGAGAAAAAAATTATTAAAATTTAACAAAAATAACTTATTCATTAATTTTTGATAAGTTATTTTACACATTCCACCAAATGAACTCAGGATCGGAGCCTGCCCCCTATTATAATTAAGTTAAGTTTTTTTTTTTTTTTTAAAGGAACATTTCATATATTGTCCCCTAAAATTTTTATTTTTAAAAATTGTCTCTTAAATTTGTATTTCTTTCTTCTTTTACTCTTTTAAATCTTTTAATTTCCCTAATAAAAGTTGAATTTTCCTTTTTGAATCAAACTTTAATAAATTTTTTTTTTTTCATTTTAAAAATTTTTGTCAACTAATTTATCTTTTTGCAATATATTTTTTTTCTTTGCCTCTTGATTTGAAGAATCTATATTTGTTATCATATTTATCGAATATATTTTGTTTTAAATTATGTCCCCTGGAAATTAATTTCTGGCTTCGCCTCTGAATGGACTCGACTCAATCTCAATCTGAACTTTTGCTAATCACCGAAAAATAAAAATAAAAGAAAATATTTTACCTAAAAAAAAAAAAATCTGAAAAAAGCATTTTACATCAAAGCCTAATATATTTACTTTCCAAGAAATTGGAGGTTTCAATTCAACTTTCAAGGCTTCACCAACTTATCTCCTCAATTAATCGCATGGATAACATAGTGGATAAGAAGTTTTTTGAGATGAATTATACATCCGAATATACTAAATTTGATTATTATAAGAGTATGAAATGATTAGTGGTGGTGAGTCTGGTGACTGAAAAATAATTTTTTTTACTAAATGTATATCTATATAGTATAATTACGTGTATGTATAGTTTGGCAAAATACTGAATTTAATTATTAGTATTATTACAAGAGTTCAAAATGACTAGGGGTGAGGGATTCTTCCTTATCTAAAAATAAAAACTGACTATATATATATATATATATATATATAGTTTGGCAAGTTTCAATTTAGAGAATCTGTCAAAAAATTTCCTGCCTGTAAAATGGGCATCACAGCTTTTGATTCTCAAATCTCAGCTATATGTTACATGTGGGTATGTCTGTCAGCTGAAGGAAAGTCATAAAGAATAGACAGAGAGAGAGAGTGAAGAGAGAGAGATTCTTTTTTTTTCTTTGCTCAGTGTAAAGTACTGTTGAGAATCATAAACCAGCCTTTCAAGCAATTCCATACTCCTACAATCTTCTTCATTCTCTCTCTACACTTACTTTTTTTTTTTTTTTTTTTTTATTTATAAATTTTAAATTATGGGCTTTTAAACATCTGTATTTATTCAAGTGTTTAGAGTATTTGGCTGAGGGCATTGACAGTGAAATTAGCCTGAGTATTCTTCTTTTTGTCTCTTTCTCTCTCTAAAATTATATTTCACTATCTACATTCCCCAATTTTGTCTCTAACTTGGAGGGACCCTCATGCTTTACTGAACTTAGATTTATTTGTTTGTGCAAAATATGCATCTCAAACTAAATGTGGAGACCAAATCAAGTCTTGCCAGACAGATTTTGAAGCATTTCTGAGATGGGTCTTTGAGTTTATCTCTGATCAACTGAGGTATGTGGCTCTTCCCTTGTTAACTCTCTATGTTTGTCCTGTTTTCTCATTATCTGAGCTCTATTTATATTGTTTGTAGAAGACTAGAAGTGAACACCAACTGCTTGTGGATTAACGAGATAGAGAAATAGAAAAGGGAAATCAAGTTCTTTTGGTGTCAGAATGAAGGATTTTCCTTCTTGTTTTGGTGAAAGTGGGGTTCAAGTTGCTGATTTCTCATCTAGTACCAGTAGAACTGCTCAGAATTTAGTTTCTTGTGTCTATCAATGTCGATTACGCGGCAGGTCACGCTTGATTACAGTGTCATGGAGTAAGAATTTGATGGGTCAAGGCTTTAGTGTGGGGATTGATGATAACACCAATCAATGCCTCTGTAAGGTTGATATAAAACCTTGGTTGTTCTCTAAGAAGAAAGGATCAAAAAGTTTAGAAGCAGATTCTAGTAAAATTGATATTATTTGGGACCTTTCCTCGGCTAAATTCGGATCCGGGCCTGAGCCATTGGAGGGATTCTACCTGGGGATTGTGTTCGAGCGACGGATGATTCTCCTTCTGGGGGACATGAGGAAAGAAGCTTTCAAGAAAACAAGTGCTACACCTGTTCCTTCCGATCCCATTTTCATTGCCAAGAGAGAGCACATTTTTGGTAAGAAGATATTCAGCACCAAGGTTCAGTTCTGTGATAATGGCCAGCTCCATGATCTTGTGATTGAATGCGACACCAGTGCCGTCAGTGACCCTTGCCTCATGATCCGCGTAGACAGCCAGACGGTGATGCAGGTGAAAAGGCTGCGGTGGAAGTTCCGGGGTAACAACACCATCTTGGTTGATGGACTTGCTGTAGAAGTATTTTGGGATGTTCATAATTGGCTTTTTGGTACATCGCTTGGAAATGCAGTCTTTATGTTCAAGACCAATCCTTCGGCTGAAAAGTTGTGGGTCAGTCAACCCCTCTCCGATCCCCATATGTTGCCTTGGTCTTGGTCACAGAGATTCCAAGATTCCCAATCACAATGTCTTGGTTTCTCATTGATTTTGTATGCTTGGAAGAATGAATAGAGAATTTATGGATTCTTCATTGTGTACTAACAGATACTTTTAGTGAGCTGTGATTCTTATTAACTATGTGATTGGATTATACTTGATTATAAACGGGTCCCTATATTCTCAAATTACTCAAGCAAGTTTAAGCGATCATAGATAATTTTCTTGTTATTGCTTGTAAATCCTTCAATTAAGTTTTATAATTAGATTTTTATTCCTATTTATATTCTAGACTAAGTTTAGTTTTTGATGTTTATGCAATGCTCTGTTGGGTTTCTCTTTGGTTTTTATTTACACAATATGAAGTATTAACATGCCATTTCTCTCTAACTTGTTGCAAAATAATAATTCTTTTGAGCTCGTGTCTGAGAATGGTCTTGCCCTGGCTGTAAGTACTCCCCTTCTTCTAAGTTATATGATGCATTAACTTCGAGACAACTGCCAGCATCACTTTGTATTTGCTTAACAACCATGGTTGAGTTTAACTTGTTTATGCTGCAGGAGCCAAAGTTATTCTGACTGACAGAAAGCATGATGGAACTAAGATTTCTACGTGTTCTTTATCTACTTAAGAGGTGCTGACGACTAGCTATTTCCTCCAACAGTATTGGGTTTGCTGAAAGAATACTTCTCAATAAGTGAGATCGCTTTGGACTCATATACAATCTAATGATTTCAGCATGATATTCTGTGTATTTATTTCTCATACATGCCTAGTTTAAATTTAGTGTGGCCTACGAATTATTGGTGTGATTATGTAATTTGAGGTTCAGTTCAGGCACACGAGAAGCAACTCTGTTATATCTTTTAAATATACTTCCGTTGCTTTTTTTTTTTTTGCTTGGTTAAGAGTTTATTTCAACTGCTATGAATCTTATTTTTTGAATTTGCTTTATCTAAGTTCAGTACTTGTGGCCTGGGAATCTTATTTAAGCCTTGACTCGGGCAAATATGATGCAGCTCCGCATATTATTTAAATAAACTTCCACGGCTTCTATTCGTAATTTTTGACTTTGCCTTGTTCAATTCCTTTACCTAAGGCAGGTGTTGACCATTATCCCTTCTATCTCTGTAATAACATCATACAGATATATCGACACAACACAGCATGTAACGTTTATATTTCAGGAGTATGGAATGAGTCTATTTCTAGGGATGCACTTTTGGACAGGCTGACCTGAGGCCTGCTGAGCCCACCCCAGATTAAGCGCCGATGGTTTCATCAGGTTGGGCTGGATTAAGTTTAGATTTGAGCCTGGCATTGAGTTTGTGAGTTTCATTGTCCAGGCCTAGGGCCTAGCTGAGCAAAGGTCCAAATATATACAAACAATTAAAATATATGTATGTATATTAGTATACATATATTTTTCACTCTCTTATTAATCCAAATAATGTAACAAGTTAACATAAGATCAAAGTTGAGATTTGAGATAAAATGTAGAAAGTTAAACTTTGTAAGTATATCACATGTGTGTGTGTTTCAATGAAATAGATATACCACTTGACTTATGTTTTGCAGAGTTCAAGATTCAAATTCAGTCAAGTCTTAACCAGGTGAGCAAGTGTATTTTTATATTTATCCATATGTGTATATAGATATCATAATTCTAGTTCCCCCCCTCGATCTCTCTTATTGTCTTAGTGTGAATTTCCATTCTTATAAATCTAAATGAGTTTGGGCTCATTTGGGCTTTAGAGGCAACATGGTGTGCGACACAGCTCGACTAAAAGCAACACTTGTCTATTGGGGGGACTTGCTATAATCAGTAGTACTCTCTCCAGTATATCGACTTATTTTTTGTCCAGGTTAATTATTCCAGCCTCCGTGGCTAAAAGGATAACAAAACTCCAGTGAGAATCCTTGTTGGGAAGGTTGGAAGATAGAGTTTAAATAACATTTGGAGTGGGATGTGATTTCTTTTCCTATGAAGGAGGGAGGAAGTATTAGGCAGTTATTTCAACCGCCTTAACTGCTAAATGGTTAAGTACATTTGTTGAGGCCAGCAGTAGCTTGTGGAGGAGGGTGGTAAAACGAAAGTATGGTGGTGTAAGGATTGGTGGATTTTGAGTGAAGTTAGTAACTCTTATGCGATAGTCTTTTGGAAGGACATATAGGAATCCAGTAGTTAACGAAGTATATAACTGTAGGGTAAAGTCAGAGGGCTAGGTCTTGGAATACTGCCTGGGGTGGGGTTGAGACGTTAAAGCATTTGGATCAGGAGGCTTCTGTTGCAAGTACGGTTCTGTTCTAGATAAAGTTATTTAAGATCCCTGGTTTAGTAGGCCTTGCAGGACTGAGATCTGGAATAAGTGAATGCATTCTTTTATTTGCTTTAGTGGTTTGAGGTGGAGGTCTTCAAGACATGGAATGGTTGTAGAAGGTGTTATGGAGTGATGGAGCCTTATCTTCTCCCTTAGAGGGGATTCATCCAAGGTTGGTCTTCTTCTTCTTCTTCTTTATTTATTTTAAATTCTTTCAACATCAAGGTTCGGGAAGATTCTGAACATATTTAATAATTTAGAAGTTGAGAGAAGAGGCCCATAAGTGATGTTATATGTGTAAGGAGCATGCCAGACATTTGAACAAGTTTTGTTGCATTATTTGGTTTTCTGAGAGCTACAGTCTTGTCTCTTCTCTGTTCAGGGTGCCATGGGTACGCTACCTCGGTCAGTAGAGAAGGTGTTGACAGTTCGTTTTCATTTTTTCAGTACTTTTTTGTTTGGTGCTGTGTGTGAAATTAGTAAGATAAGCGGACATTTGAGGGAGTGGAATTGCCTTGAATTACTCGGAAGATTTCATGTTTGCTCCTTGTTTTGTGTTCTCCTTTAGCATGCATTGTGTGTGTACTTGTATTGCGCTACTCCTGAACATGTTGCAGAATTTATAGTTCCACCAAAAGTGAGAGGCTGGTTCAGATAATTTTTGTTCTGATGCTTTAGATTTTATTGCCGATGATTATTATTATTTTTTTAAAGATATGCTGGATGAGGTTTTTGGTTAAAAGTTCCTAAAAGTAATGATTGACTGGACTCCTGACATAGCCATTTAGCTTGAACTGCATAATCCTACAAAAATGCTCACGATTGACTCAAAATTGGAGCAATTGATGAAGGGGTTTGTCATCTATAAAAAATGACATATATTGGAACCAAGAGTTCAATATCTTGATGTGAAGTTGAATTAGTAGGTCATTCAATGCGTATTGATTTATTGACTGGATTATTCCATCGTTCTATAGGTTAAGTCTTTTCTATGATGTCCACAAGCAAAAAGACAGTTGAACTCTATGATAATTGAAGGGCGTCTACAAGTAAATTTATAACTTGGATAGAGGGGGAAAAAAAATCAAAAGAACTGAAATAATTGCAATATATTATATGAGACTTGACACTCGAGAACTTATAGTACTGCAACCTGTAGTTGATTTATAGTTGGCTTAGGTTAAAGAAGGTTTGGGGCTTAGGGTTTAAAGTAGAAGAAATAATTTTATGGGTTGTGAATTGAAAGGAGTTGGGATGTTGGTATCAAATTTTTGGTTGCAGAGCTGGCATAATCTGCTCTTAGTTATTGTAGACCTTAAATGAGTATATGGTTTCAGAGGGCAGTAGTGAGGTTAGGATCTGAGCTTGAAAATGTATAATGCATTTGTTCCATTACAAAAAGATAAAAAGAACATACTTTAAAATAATTTCCAAAATATAGAAAGACAAAATTAAATACAAGAAATAGAGATATTTTATTAAAAAACTAATCATATCAAGATGTCATTTTAGTTTAATAAAAGGTTAACTTATTAGACTTATATTTGCACATTATCCTCCAATCATTTAATTGGCCAATCTAAAATTAACAAATAAATAATTGTGGGGAGCTTCACACCCTCGGTGTAATGTTGACCATCATCTAATCATAATAGGGTTCGCTGAGCCTCACATTTGGGTGACCTCAATGTCTAAGCCTCAGGGTCTCAGAAAGATACAGCCTTAAAACATTGTATATCTGGTTATTCTGGTTCTGAAAATGGTAGTGTGTAAATTGTGTAAATATAATACGAGTTCCATGTTCTTTCCATTCTTCTTGTTGTGTCCATTTGTGTGCCTTGTGTTTAAAGAGTGGATGGGAATTTTATTCACTCTGTTTCTTGGGGTTTCGTACGGCTTAAATTATCTAGGCCATTAACTTTTAGGTTTCATGTTCTTCTATCTTTTGGCCTGTTGTTGAAGAATGAATTAGAACTTAACTAGTAGATATTTTTAGCTTGTACAACATGCTGGTATGATATTAGTCTGTGATTTTGATCTGTATGATTTTTACACTTCCTTTTTAAAACATAGAATTATGCAAATCAATCTTTTGTTATTTCTTCGCTCGGTTTATTTTTTTTTTGTAAAACACTATATTCGGATAATGTAATTGACTATTGAATTTCTTTAGTCTGAAATCTTTTACATGCACATGCTACATCCCGATTCCCTGAGTGCCAATGCTTTGTTTTTTCTTATCAAATATGAACTGATAATTTCTGTTTAGGAATATTTTTGTTGTACAAAATTTGCATTTGTCTAATTTTGTCCTCAAAGCCATCAATATATGATGGTTTGATATGCATCTGGATGCATTCTTGGGTTTGATAATTAATTATTAAAAGATATGATGTATTTTTTTATTGATGGTCCTGACAAAATATTCCTAAACAAATAACATTTCCTCAATTGTTGTGGGGTGGTTAGATGGTGATTTCTTTGTTGTGACGGTCAGCGCTAACAAAGGATAGTGGAGGTGAACGGTGATTGTGGCAGGGGTTCTGGTAAACATGCACATATATAAATACTTATGCACTCGTAAAGAAATATTTGGGATTTTAAATGATGAAGAATAAGAACTGAGGTGGTGGATCATTCCAAAAACAGGTGTTTTTATTTTTATTTTTTAATAAATATCTCATTTTCAAATTAACACATGGCATAATTTCGCATGATGGTTAGAATGCAAAAAAAGGAAACTTAACAAAACTACGTTGTCTTATTAAATGGGCTAATTAATACTTTTGCATAACTAGTAATGGCAACTTAATGGTGGACTAATTTGCAAACTTTTGATAGTTCAGTATTTTTCCTTGCATGGTTAGGGGGCTATTTGCAGAAAGGTGATAGTTCAGGGGAGTGTTCTGCATTTACTTTTCAGAAAATTCAAACTCTGCAAAACAATCCACCATTGGCACTAGATAACTGTTACGACATTTTAAAGCCTCACTGTAACTGAAAGAAACTGAAGAAAGGAGGAAGTTGTGGGCAAAGAGCACGTGCCAGTGATAATTATGTTGTCATTCTGACTAGTTTGATGCCCCCTATTGACATTGTAAACTGGCCTAGTCTGTACCTTGTTATACCATGTTTTACGATTGCAATTACATTCTATGTACAAATTGCATGTTGCGCCTTGAGAACTCGATTAAGTTGTCTGCTCATTTATATTATTTCTGATCTAATAAGTTGTAGAAGAGTGTAAATGAATATTTGAAACATGTAAATTTTCTTTATGTGGGCTTTATACTTATCCTTGTGTGTCATCATTATTCATTATCATGGTACAATGTCTAGAGCACTGAGATTAATAACATTGCCTTGTGGTTATGCATCTTTGTCGTACATTTTTTCAATGAAGGTTTCTTGTGAGTTCAAATTCTTTTTTACTTTGTGGACTTGACCATTCTGGTGCTTGTTCAGATCTCATCCCCTGAGATGAGTTTAGCCTCGGTTCGGGCATATTATGGAAGAAATTCGAGGACCTTGTCCTTAACTACCGAGTGATGCAGGGCAGGTGACTTCATGACATGCAAGAGGTGAGTGCTGACTTAGTTTGATATATGTGCTATTTCTTTGTGTGTTGTCCAGTTGTTTAATGCGTCGAACAATTTTGTGGCTCTGAAGCATATTTCAATAAATAAATTTGGTGCATTATCAGGAATAAGTAAAAGAACATAGTTTGTCATGTCATACTAGTGAACAATGTTTTCCCCCTAGATATCTTCTCTTAAGGGGTATGAAGTATCTGATTTCACTTGTTCTCAAGTGTCCAGAAACATTTGAGTCTGTGCACCTAAATATAGTTCTTCAAGAAATTAACTCCAATTACGGAGTAAGCAGTCAGTAGCCATTACAAGCAGTAAACAATTCACTTCTATTTGAGCAACATTCTTTTTCGTTTTTGATGCTTGTAGGGTCAAACCCTGGGTAATGGAGATTCTATGCTTGTGTAAAGTGCTTGGGAGTAATTGATCTTCTGAGGATTCTTGTCATGACCAGTATTATTTATTGCTTTCTTGTTAATCTGGAAAACTAAATGCTTTGCTGAATTGAGCAGCATTTCAAATCCGCTGAGAATCGTGGTAACAGTATGACGAATTTTCAACGTTGTATAGCCGACATGCAATCTTTATAGACATTTGTGGACTGAGTTCCCATCTGACAATAGAAGGGCTTTGATATTGAAGGAGGATTAGCAGGGAGTGACTTCCTGTGAAGAGCCAAATTAGTGATATTACGATGAAAGTTCTGTAGATTTGTATTGTGGGGACATGATACCTAGTAAAAATCACGCTTTCTAAAGGTGATACTTTCTTTGTCTGGAAATAAAACAATTCCCATGTGTCAAACTAGTCATTTGATTTACACATCAAATTTTTTATTTTTATTTCTCTCATGCTTTCGTTTTTATATCCATATTCCAGAGATTCAACTAAATTGAAAAGTTGCTGTTGCATGGCTTCATTTATAATTATGGACACTGTAAAATTGGTATGTTGTGGTTGGTTCTGATAGGGTTAGTAGGCTCTTTGACCCTCCTTAATGTCTAATAGAAATATCAAAGTGTTCTGTAGATACTGTTTTCTGTAATACAAAGCTGAGCATCAGGATAAATTCTGTTGTGTTTCAGGCTGTGGCAGTTTTTTCGAAGAAAGTAGGGCTTTTTTTTTTTTTTTTTTTTTCATGTTCTAATTTTTTCAGACATCGAAAATAATACTGAAGCGGGTGTTTTCAGTATTTCCCTCCAAGTGCTATGTTTAGTCTAAATCCGCACTTGGTAATGACCTTTTCTCTTAATGAAGTTTGAGAGTTCGATTGTGAGGAAGTGTGTGTTTTACCCTAAATCACATAATTATTTTAAACGGGTGCCGCTTTCGCGCTTCGCACCGTTCCCGTTGTCGTCCCCTCCCACTTGACTTAAATTTTTGCCGCTTTCACGCTCCCGCTCTCGCACTCACTTTATGTGACTTAGGTTTTACCATGTGATTGGATTCTTGTACCCTTTAAGGGTTTCTATTATGCTCCATGTGTTTTTAGTTTTGAGAATGAATGGGTTTTGGCATACATGACTCATTCTTTTACACTTGCAGAAATGAACTAAATCCAATCTCCTCATCTAATGCAAATGATACCCACTAGGGTCACACGGTTTGCGTTGAGACGGTGTTCGTTGAAAGTTAATATTTCTTAGTTGATACTCACACATCCCCTTTCAATGAATTATTAGCACCAAAAAGGGTCAAATTGTAGACCTAATGCTTCCTGAAGCTATGGAGAAAATAATGTTAAAAATAACATAATTATTGAATTACAACCGAATTTTTGTGGGAGAGAATCCAGCCCTTTTCCTCACCCTCAATGTGTTAACCTCAACTTACCTATAAGAAACAATACCTGCAACTTTCACTTTCTATATTTATTTTTATTTTCATTTTTTAAAATATTTTTATTTTTGTTTTTCAGTGAAAACATTCAATCATTTTCAGATATTTTTAAACATATAGATCCTTAATAATATCGGAGAGACCCATCATAAATTACAGGACACATTAAAAAATTTGTAGTGACCCTTTCAGTTTCAACGTATGGATTTTTATGCATTTTTGTTTCTTAAGATTTAAAAATTCAACCAATTATATATGCTTACCTACTCGTTTGATTACAATTTACCGAGTGAGCAACTTCAATCATATCAAAATTTTGTATTGCCGACCGATGCAAAACAAGAAGTAGATCTGACAGACAACTTTTACCCTTGTCATTAAAAGTGACTCATCCGTTATTAAATTTGAAACCATCTTAACACCAAGTGGGTGGCACAAGGGCAATTTGGTCACTTTATTTTGAAATTTTCTCTCTCAAATATATTAATTATATATTGTAAGATATATTTTATGTAAGAAGGTGATAAATGCACTTCACTTTTGATATGAAATTATATTACTGTATATGATTTAATTATTGAAAATAAAATATAACTAACATTGACATCATTTAATTTAAGAAGAAAAATAAATGCATTTAAACAAAAATAGTATTTATCATTTTCCTTTCATATATATGGATGTATGTATATTATTCAAGAGACTTCATAGCAACATTTTTGTAATATAAACTAACTTTAAAAAGATATTTCGTGCTTGCTCATAATTAAATTAGAGAAAGTAAATTTAAGTGATATAATTATATAAATTGTAGATTCGGAAATGCATAAGTTACAAGAGGTAGAAATGGAGGTAGAAATGGATGTTTAGAATGTAACTTATATAAGCTACAGAGAGAGGCTGACCAAATTTAATATTTAAAATATATATTTTTTAAATTAAATATTTGAGAAGACAGGTGTATAATAGAAAAAATAATAACAAAAAAAGTAGTTATGCTATATAGGTCCAATTTTTAGCCCAAATGTTAGAAGTATAATAATGTTAAACATTCTGTAATAGTTTAGTTGGTAGCTAAGTCACGCAAAGCGGAGTCAAAACAGAAACAAGAGTGAATTTGGAAGTCGGACCATGAAAACAGTAAAATCTAAATCACACATAATGATAATAGGAGTAAGAGTGGGTGCGGAATAATGGTTTAGTTGGTAGCTAAGTCACAAGAGTTAATTTGAAAATCGGAGCGTAAAAATAGTAAAATCTAAATCACACATAATGATAATAGGAGTAAGAGTGGGTGCGGAGTATGAAAGCAAGAGCACGTTCACAGTGTAAGATTCACATCCATATAGAATAATCACGTGACTTAGGTTCTTTGAGTGCTAATAATAATAATTAATAAAAAAAGAAACGAAAGAAGGAAATTCACGCAACCCTAACCAAAAGTCTATAATGGATATCGGGATGGTGAGGTTTTAAGCCGTTGCATGTAGTGATGGACCACCTCATGGACGATATAATGACCGAACGGCCTGGTACTGTACGAGGGTATGGTAGACTTCCTCCAAGTAAAGCACACTCCAGTCTCCTGGTCTACTTTACCGTTTACGTAGAGCCAACGCGGCCACATATAAGAGCCAGCACTTAAAAACTGGAAGCTTCGGAGGTGTGTTGGCTGAAGAGAAACCAGAGAAGGGGCAATGGACAATTACCACACCAAAATGCCAAACTCCAGCATCACCAATACTAAGGTAAAGCTAAATAGCTAGTAGACAAATATGAAAACGTGATCTGTCCTTTTTCTTTGTCGTATAACTAATTTCCTGCTAATTTTCCGATCCATCGACTCATTACCCATTTAGTATTACATGTAAATTACTTCCAAAAACCAGAACTCCATAGCTTTGTGGGTTTCTTTTAACTTCCATTTGCATACTCATTCTAGGTTTTGTTCTTAAATGTTATAGTGCGAGTAAAAAGTGTATTGGGTTTTAGCTGGATTAGTCTAGTGGGTTCTATTACTGAAATTTGGTCATTCAAATAGAATAGTTTTGTAGTGGTAAGCTTATTGGTTGGTCATTGTGAGTGTTGATTCTTGAAAAGGGGTCAAAGTTTTAAGACATTGTTTATTGAAGTCATGGTTTCAATTGCGAAAACTTTCTTGATGTCACCTAATTCTTCTTTGAAATCAAGGTATAAGCCTCGGTTTCAAATTCGGGTTCAGAGTTTAGATAGTGAGGATTTGACGTTGGTGTCTCCGGTTGCTGTTAATGGAGTTTCTTCTGTTGGGGAGAAAGAGAGAATTGAGTCATTGCCTGATAGGGGGAATGTGAGATTGGGTTTAAATGGAGGGAGCAAGAAGAGGCAGGATGTTGCTCCAGAAAAATTGGAGATGTTGTGGGATGATGGATATGGGACTCAGACTGTGAAAGATTGCCTTGATGCTGCCAAGGAGATAATTAAGCCCGATGGCGGGCCGCCTCGGTGGTTTTGCCCTGTTGAATGTGGGCGGCCGATAAAAGATTCACCAGTTCTTCTGTTTTTGCCGGGTAATCAATGTTTGAGCATCAGTTATAAGTCTAAATATAGTTTCTGTTGTCTGAGTGTTGTATATATAAATTGCATATGACAATGATTAGATTTTGGTAAATATATTATTGATTCTTAAGAAACGAGTTCATTTCATGATATACAAATTTACAAGGGGCCATTGCTTAATGCAACAATAAAGCTTGCATTGCCAAGAGCCAGAGTGTAATTTTTTTTTTAATGAGGGCTAATCACTGTATGCAAGTAATGCTAAAGGTTGGGTCAGTGTCTGATCAGTCCTTCCAAGTATCCTTGATTAAAGGGACCAAGACTATATAATGTTTATTTTTGGTTATGCAATTTTCAGTTTCATTTTTTTGATAAAAATTCAATAGATATCTAATATATATGTGTGTGTATATAATATATATGTGTGTGTGTGTATATATGTCTTGTGCATTTTAGTTACAAAATTTAAAGTCTGTGGTATTGATGCATGCAGGAATGGATGGGCTTGGATTGGGTCTCATTTTGCACCATAAAGCTCTTGGGAAGTGAGTTTTAGTATCATTATCTGTATGTAATGCACACAAATCTGTATTTTAAAACCATTTTTTTAGGTAATACAGTTTTCGTAAATACTTCTGTATTTTTATTAAAAAAATCAACCAATAATCAATTTTGGTGTTAGATAGAAGGTTGTATGTAGCAATGTGTACAAGTATCTCCAACATAGTTACATAACGAACTAAAATAGTCCCAGTGTTGAATGATATTCCAAATTTCCAATTCATTTTTGAACGTATTCTAATTCCCCTCCGTTGGATTTGAGATCATCCCTCATTTAGGCCTATCGAGGGGTTGTGGAGATCCTTGTTATTTTGTTAATTTCGTAAATAATCTCGTGTTTGAACAACAATCTTTGCTTCTTTATGTCTACGCCTGCTTGTACATGTGCTTTAACTTTTCACCTCTTTTTTCTTAGTTAACTTTACACCTTTGAAATTCAATGTGGAATTTGTTTTGAACATTTTTATCCAATCAAGAAACAGCAGGCTGATTAGTTGGGTTTTTCAATTATTTTACTATCCTTGTTGCTCTCACTTTGCTATGGTTGTGAAGTACAATTTTCATCATACTCCGTATTATCTTGTGTACAAATGGAGCCAGGTTTGTTGTAAACATGAGCAGAGGAGAAATGAGTCATTTCAATTTGATGTGATGTATTGGCGTATTGATTTCTTTTATGGATATAAAGTTAATGCACCGTATACCTCAATCCTGTCATCCATGCCCCTATTGCAGTATTCCTTCAAAACCCTTGTTCTATTGCAATCAAAATTCACCGCTTATTTTTGTATTCCTTGCAATTGTCACGAAATTGAAATTGATAAAAGAGCTCCACAATTTATGGTAGCAATATCCTGATTTGTAAAGATGCTTGAAATTCTTGAGTATTTAAAAATTTAGGTTTCATTCTAAATGTGACATTCGCTTGCAAAATCAATTCGTATTTATTTGTGTTATATTTTTGTTGTATTAATGCTATATGATATCTGTATACATGGGTATGGATATTAGGTGTATGCTTATATTGCAATACTAATTTGTTCTATATTGATTTTCTTGATTAGAAATCCATGATGCTGGGAATTCATGTCTAGTCCTTTAATTTTATCATTTGTAATGATAAGTTTTTAATATGGAATTGTATTGGATGCAGAGTTTTTGAGGTTCGGTGCATGCACATTCCTGTTTATGATCGAACACCATTTGAAGGTATATATTTCTAATTATTTTATTGTGTTGTTTCCAAGGTTCATTCATGCTGCTGATGTGTCAAATTACTGTACAAATTTCATAAACAGTTTGGAAGAACTTGATATCTATATGTTGCAAGCTTGCAGTTGTAGGCTTGTAATAACTATTCTTTTCTCAAACATGTGGTTAGGTTTGCAGTTGATAGCACTATTTTATATCAACCAGGTTTGAAATTTGTAGGCTTAATGTGAATTGACTTCTTTTGGCCTGTAAGCATTGTGCTTGTCATTTTGCATGCTTGTATGCCTGTGCGCACGCTTTATTTTTTCCTTCTTCAATTAATGAGATCTCATCTTATCACTATAAATAAGATTTAGTTGGATGTAATGTATGATGACCTATACTAAAGATTTAGTTGGACACTAACGTATGATAAGTTTTATTGTATGAAGACTTGGTGAGATTTGTTGAAGCAGCTGTGAGGTTTGAGCATGCATCATCTCCAAATAAACCAATTTATCTGGTGGGAGATTCCTTTGGAGGATGCCTAGCACTCGCCGTTGCTTCTCGTAATCCTAGCATTGACCTAGTAGTAATATCAGTTAATCCAGGTCAGCTTTCGGACGTGCAATTTGACAATTTCATCATATTTTCACAACATGTTTCTGGCTGACCATTGGTGGCCAATATTCTGTGAACTATCTGTTTCAGCAACGTCATTCAGCAGGTCGCAGCTACAACCTTTGTTCCCCCTATTAGAGGCTTTGCCTGATGTACTTCATATTACCATCCCTTATCTTCTTAGCTTCGTTATGGGTATGTGATTTATCACTTTTTTAACTTTACTGTGGCTTTAAATTTATTTATTGAATTTTATTACATCAGTGTCCTTCCATCCCAAAATTTTTGTCCCTTTTCGAGGTTTCAACTTTTTAAGAGGATAATGCTACCCTTTTGAAATTCCAATACTACCCCTTTAAAGTTTAAAATTCACATTGTTAGCTTGGAAAAGTCTTCAAAAGTTGAGGACATTTTGGAAAATATAAAATCTTTCTACATTAACTTTTCAAATGGGACATGCATTTTGGGACAGCTAAAAATGAAAAAAGGGACAAGAATTTTGGGATAGGGTGAGTAAATGTCTACACTTTCGGTTGTTGCTAGTTGGTTCTGTTAGGGAATATTATTATTGGAGTGAATTAGCCTTTGATAGAATATTGATGGGAATGATTCATGGGATTGATTTTAGGGATCCTCCATCAATATATTTTTATCACATTTTTTTTTTCCTAGTTCACATGTTTGTATTCTTTCACCTATAAATAGAGGTGATCATTGTAAACAAAATTAAGAGAGAATATAAAGAAAGAGAAGCAGCCCTTTGGGATTTGTGTGCCGTGGATATAGGTTGTTGTGGCCAAATCACGTTATATCCTTGTGTTGTTCATGCTTTATTTTTCTCTTACAATCTTTTGTTTTTCAACATGTTCATTAAACATTACAAGTTTTGGCAAGTGCAACCTTTTGCAGTTTCTATTTACTCTTACTCTGGAATAGATTACTTTTCATACATCAGGTGATCCATTGAAAATGGCAACGGTCAGTGTCGAGAGTGCACTTCATCCTGCTCTAGTACTTGAACAATTGTCTGGCAACCTTACTGCTATGCTTCCACGTCTTTCTGTAAGAATTGCTTGTCATACCAAGATTTTTTTTCTGATTATTGTACTTCTTCCTAGAACTCTTTTGTATAATATAAGGTGATGCATTATCTTTTTTGTTCATATCTCTTTTGGCCAATTGTGTGCTTTCTTTATTTTTTTATACGAGAAGTTTCTGTAATTTTTCATTATCTTGTGGTCAGAAACCTTTTATAAGGGTGCTGGTCTTCAATCTACTATATATTACAATTAGACATTTTCAGTCCAGTGATACTAAAACTGAGTTTTCAGTTTATCACATCTGCTTACTTTTCCTTCTCAGCCGTGTTCAATAATGTCCTGTTGTTGCTTTGGTCAAACTAATGGTACACATGAGTAATCCAAGACATGGATGTAATGTGATGCAAATCAGAGTGTACAAGAGCTTGGAAGTGGTGGGCAGTAGTTAATAATCTCCACACCTATTAAGATAGGATGGCTACCTCTATTTGCCTCATAGTTGTTTGAGCCGGAAGTGCTGATAGAAAAGGAAAGAAAGGTTCTTGACACCCACTTTCCTCCCCAACTTGTTTTGTATTTCAGACTAACCTACAATGCCATTATATATTTCTTTGATCCTTATAAAACATTTGAATTTTCTACATCACCCCAATTTTTTTCCTTAAACATTTAGAATATACTGAAGAATACCCTCATGTGGGAATTAAATTACCTTTTATAGTATCATACAAGATGTGATATGTATGTAGGTTTGTTTGATGTGTCTACGTACTCATACCTAGTTTTTGCACTCATTTTAGCTGAGTCCATGTATCCTCACATTTAAGAATTAGGTGAATCCAACATGTGATAAATAATATATACTCAAGTCCATGTAAGATATAGGGTGCTGCATGGGGAAAAGCCGCACTAGGGAGGGCGCGGCACCCAACTGACTATTCATTGCCATCCAACTTAGTGACCTTCACAGTGGTTAAAGTGAAATAAAAGGTTGCAGTTATCTCCTTGCAAAGTAGTACTGATAGTAGCCCACTGTCACTCTCTATCTTTTCTGTTCTTCTCCCACCCACCCCACTGCTAAGGGATATGAAAAAAGAAAAGGGGGAGGAGGGAGGTGGTGGACAAATTGATGTCACGTGCTGTATAAAATGATCCATTTTCTTTCCTTAGAATCAGAATTTATTCTGTAATTTTTTAGGAAATATACTAGGCTGCTGTTTTGGAATAATTCTCTCTATTCTTGTCAGGGCTGGGCTGATATTTTACCCAAGGAAACTCTTCTTTGGAAGCTGAAGCTAACTAAATCAGCTGCTGCTTATGCTAATTCCCGCCTCCATGCCATCACAGCTGAAGTACTTGTGCTTGCGAGGTTCTCTCTCTCTAATGAGGATCTTTCTTATAGACTATTTCTTTTTGCCTCTGTTTAGTATCTTCTTTTTTTTGAGCTTTTTAATTTGGTTTAGAACTTGTGTGCTAGGTATTTCAACTTAGTTATTTTATTGACAGCCTATTTCTTGCATCTGTTTTGATTTTATGGTTACTTACACATATTCACATATAGAGGTGGCAGATAAAATCTTGTTTGAATTCCTTTATTGGCTAATATGGCTTGGAAAATGATACGATGGAGTCCCCAAAGAGATTTTATGGTGGAAAAGGAAGGGGGTATATAACTGTGCAGGACCATCTTAGGGAGAGTTGTAGGAAACAAGATCTCTGTCGAAGTGGGGACCGAGTTTTCTATTCTTAGTTAGTTACATCTAGAGTGGCCACCAAGCCTAATCTTTTTGCACTTTGTATAAATGTAAAACCAGACCTGTCCAGGAGATCATATTGTGCATGTTATTGGCTGTTGCGTGGATACAAATTACTACTGCAGGCCAAGGAGATCTTGTATCTCTTTTTTCAGTCGTTCCACAACTAATCATTTCAAAGCAAAGACTTTAAAGAGATGGGCTATTGTACAAGATTAGCCTTTTAGACGAACTGCTCTTTCTTCCTTTTGTTTTGAATCTTTTGTAAAGGTTGCTGATGAACAAGTAAAAAAGGGCGACCGGGCCAGGCCGAGTCAGAAAGGTTTTAGTAAGCAGCAAGATCGGCTCTTCATTTGTTGCTCGCCTAAAAGTAAAGGGTCTTCTTTGCCACAGCCTGGGTACAACAAATCCTGCTCTATTCATCTATCTTAGGGCGGTAGACGACGGGGTGCTATTATATTAAAGGAATCATCCTTAAAACAATGATTGAAGCCTAGATAGGTCACCCTTATATAGGGCTATCTCATTTGTTAAAGGTCAAGTAAATGGCCATGGAATCGGTTTTCTTTTTGTGTGCTCATAGGTTTTGTTCGATAATCAGACTAGGTTGGAACATTAGCTGAGTTTGAGCACAACTCACAGGTTTTATTAAAGAAACTATTGAGGGTTTAAATGTTATGTAACTTGTGTTTTACTTACATGGATTTTATCAATAAATTTGGTGAAATATAAGTGGAGTGAAGGGAACTATCAAACATTGATGGCCAAAAAATGTCCTAGAGTAACTATTTAGTGTATTGGTCATTTCATCCACACCGAAACGAAGCAAAGCTTTTGAAATTGTGTAATTCTGGTCTTTATCTGTTCATTTATTAGGATAAATCTATTATATGAGGGGTAAACCATATAATCATCAGTAAGCAGATAAAAGTATCCCGAGTGAAAGAAGTGCTTGGTTATTGTTTATTCTCTGGTGTCCTTTTTGGCTAAGCCCTTCAGATTATAAACTTTGACGACTTCTGTGGGCAGGTGTGATGTGGGTGGGTGTGAGACACTGGGCGAGCTACCACACTGGTAGGCTACGGGTGTCATGGTCTCACATCGCCCGTGGAAGGTGAAGTGCTATATGTAGGTTCAAGACAACGTGTTTTAAAGCCGTGATAACCGTGAACCCATCAGAACTCCGTAGTTAAGTGTGCTTATGTAAGAGTAGGACCAGGATTGGTGACCTCATGGGAAGTCTGGTCTGAAGTAGCCAAAAGCGGACAGTATTGTGTTGGGGATGGGTGACCTCTTGGGAAGTATGGTCCGAGGGAGGCAAAAGAGGACAATATTGTGTCGGGTAGGGTGAGGGCTGTTACATAAACAGAGTTCTTTTTTTTTTTTTTCCTAGTTGGTACTCTCACACACATGTCTCTTCTAAGACTTAAACCCCCTGATCTCCCTTTAGGAGGTACGAGACTGATACCTCTAGGCCACTGGCCATTGGTTACATATACAGAGTTCAACATTATTATTCTTTTTCCTGATCCAAGCCCTTATGATTTATTTTTCAAAATGAGTTGTCAAATGTCAAAATTAAAGGAATTTGAGAATTTTGCAGAATGCAGGTAACTTTTAGAAGCTTGGAGATTTAAACTATAAATCTTAATGACAATTATGCTTTCATGACATGTGTACATTCCTTTGTTCCCTGGAAATATATAGTCATTTATATTGTTAGATTCATTGGACTTGATTATGTGATTCACAAAATATGGCACTTGTCTGGCACTTTTAGTCCTTATTTTTTGCATGGACATCTTTGTTTATCTTTATGGATATTCCAGGATGCTCTTTCCGATGTTCTAGAAACTTCCATGATTCTTGGAGAATTTCAAATCTATGTTTTTGTGTTTCATTTCATCATAATCTTGATCTGATTGTATTTGCCATTGACCAGTCTCATTGAGGTCTACTGATGGAACACATTATCTGAGTTGTATTTCCAAGGCCTTTTGAGGGTGCTGTGGATCACATTTATCCTTGTGTATAGGCATCTGCATGCATGCACCAATTTATTACATTTAAGAAGTCCATTTTTTTACTTTCTTAATTATAACTGTGTCTAAACTCCATACATAAGCATAAAAGTTGTCATTGCGTGTGCAATAAGAATAACAATTAGGATATTCTTATCAAAAAAAAGAAAAAAAAGAAAAGAAAAGAAAAACAATTGGAACACGTATGTTGTTTGCAAAACAATCTGTTCTTGCTGAGTAAAATAATTGATAATCTAGCAGTTTGAGTGTATTGGTGCAATAGTAAAAGTTGAATATCGGGTTGAGTCTTAAGGCAGCCACTTTCAGTAAATACTGACAAAAGATTAGGTCTGTACACATTCTACTCTTCCCAACACCCTAGATTAACATGTTTATACTAGGTAATGGCCTTTCTTTTAAGTAATTTGAGCATGTATTGTTGAATACATATATATATTTTTTCCTCAGTTGAATATTCTATCCCCTTGTTTTATATTATTTACTCGTAAATTGGTATATCTTGATGGAATTTTAGGGTTGATGGTGTATTTAAATTTTAGTGGCAAGGATAACATGCTTCCTAGTGGAGATGAAGCTCAAAGGCTTTCAAGTTCACTACAGAACTGCAAAATTCGGTATTTTAAGGACAATGGGCATACCATTTTATTGGTAGGTGAGGGATTTTTTGTCTCTATTTTGATATTATGATACTGGTAGAATGTTCCAAAGCTCTTGGAATTTGATATTAGCTTCTAGATCAATACAGCTCCTAATCATTACAATTTCTTCAACTAGTCAATTGCTTAAACTTGGAAGGTTATATAACCATCCTCAATTCTTTAATGATCCTACACCTAAAAAGTTATTACACATATCTACTATGAATCTATCAGAACAATCCTTCTTCTAACCTTGATGCCATGAGCATGGTTAATCAAGTCTTGTCCTCAATACAAACTTCGTGGCATGTCCTTGAATGGTTATTGGACATTAATATTTTGTATTCATTTACTACCCAATTTAAGATATAATAAATGTATAGATATGCAGTCATTTGCACCTGACAGTGAACAGTCTGAAGTCCGCGAAGTGTTTTTACTTTCTAGGTACCGGTGTCATTGGGCCTGAAACTATAACTAATTGCACCTTCATTAGGCCATGTCCTTGATATTCACACTGAAACACTAGTTGTCCTGTTTTCTTTTGAGCCAAAATTGCTGTCACTGGCATTGATGATTAGTTATTCTTAATTTTAATATAAATCAAAGTTGCCTGAATTTTGTGATTCTATTTTGATACTGCAGCATTTTGACATTTACTCCTAATCTCAGTGCAGTTCGATGATTTAACCTGAACATGTGTGGATTGTTAAATGACCGCTAAATTGTACTGTACATATGGATATATACGATGTTATAGTTTGGTATCACGAAATGTTGTTTGTCAGCATAAAACTACTTTTTGACTGACTTTGGAAGAAGTTGGATAGTCCTGTATTGTGTTTGTTATCTGATATAAAAGGAGAAGTAAATCTCCTTATTATATGGTTCATTGAAATATAATATGCTACAGCTATTTTGGTTTTCTTTCGTTCCTCCCTATTGTCTTAGTGTAGTTGTTGGAAATCAGATTTGTGTTGACTGCCTACTATAAAATGTCAGGCCATTGTATTTAACTAAAGAATAAACTGTACCACTTTAAGGTCTCATAAGTACTACAAAATTGTTCTATTGTGCAATGAAAGTTACATTTCCTTGGACCTAATTGTGGAAGCACAGCAATACTTGACTGACTGTGATGTTTGCAGGAAGAAGGCGTTAATCTGTTGACTATTATTAAAGGTACTTGCAAATATCGTCGTTCAAGCAGACGGGATTATGTCATGGATTTTCTGCCTCCTAGCGCCTCAGAATTCAAAGAGACACTTGAAAGAAACAGGTAATTCAGCAAAACAATGTGCAGTATTACGTTACTTTTTTTATGGAATGCAATGAGGGTGCAACTTGATCAAGCTGAACTGATCCAGTATTGAGATTCTACAAATAAGATACTTCTACATAAAAAAAAGAAAAGAAAAAAGATGCTCTTAGATGAGGCCTTCAGGGACCTATTCCTACCTGAACCTGATTATGCAAATATACATCTTGCATGCTAACGATTTGAAACTGCAAGGCATTTTTCATGTTCTTTTAGATTATTTACTCTTCTGTTATCAATCAAATAATGATATTCTATGCAATGTGATTTGGCCTAATAAATTTGTCTATTTAAATTGTATTTATGGGGGATAATGATAAAGAAAAGGCAGAGAAGAATTTACAAAAAAAATGGGGTTCATAAAAAACGGGTTGGCTAGGAGAGGGAGGGTCGAACTAGGTATATAATATATATATATATATATTCCATTATGTTTCTTTTGAACACATTTTCTTTAATGATTGGAATTTTTTGGGAGGTTAATGTTTTATGCAAATGATCTTTTGGTGCTACTTTTCTATCAAGAAGTAATTTTCTAATGACACAGACAAAACTAGAGGGGAAGGGAAGGAATGGAAATTAAAGAGTGGGAGAGATGTTCAAGTCTAATATCTTATGGTTTATATTTGTAATGGTGCACTATGAAAGTGAAATAATATGTAATTGTTCATGTTCTCTGAAGTCATCTTTAATTTAAAATTGTAAGTCCAATCTAAAATGCATGATTTTAATTGTTATTTTTAACAATGTTGTAATATGGAACAACATTTTATCTCTAAACCAACCTAACTTGATCACCCAAATAGGTTTAGCTGGTTAACATGCTCCTAGTTTGAAGATCCAGCTGGTTAGGCTGCAGTTGTGTCCTGGCTGAAATTATCATTTAAGATCTGGGCTTGACCTCTTATTATGGTGTGAATTTGTAGCACACTAGCACTGATAATTCAATATGTAAAATAACACAAACCTGCTTATTAATTCTTTGGCAACCGACATGGTCATACGGAGCATAGTTAAAATTTATTACAAAGCCTCAAATCTTAACTAATTCAAGGTACAAATCCCAAAGCTCAAGTAAACCCAGATTTAAACTTATAATACAAATTACAGCCCATTACTTAAATAGAATCCTTTCAAAGATACAAAACCACTTCACATCAAACTCCAATTTATACATAACTATTCTAGCTCTGAACAAACAAAAGCGACTCCACTCCTTGGATCTACTTCGGTTAAAAGTCCATAAGCTCTGATGTCACTCCGAAACACTTTAACAATAGAGTGAGCTTCACAGCACAGTAAGCAACTAATAATGGCCGACTGAATTAGGATCTACTATTTCGTATTGATAATTTTCAAATAGGTTGATGTACATCCCTAGCTAGTGGCTCATATATTCCATTTATAATTCAAATGAATGGACATTTGAACATGGCAGAGGTCCAGAAATCCCCACAAGTAAAATGAGGTCAACTTTTCCGCCAGTCTCAGATGGGTCCACTTATACCTTTTTGCTGAAGGTCCTATATACCTTATTTGATAATACCTGTTTTTTTTTTCAGAAAAATAAATCTTCCTATGATGGAAAATGTTGTTCATTTCAAATGTCACATAACCAAAACCTCAACCAAATGTGTGAAAAGTTCCATTTAGTTTTCACAAATTTGAAAAGACATTAAAAAATAATCCATAATATCATTTGCAATGTAATAGAGGTGACTATAACTAAAAGAATCACATCTATTAATGGAGTGTTTAGATCAGAAAAAAGAGACCATATGGCTACCATGTAGCTTCCAAGAAATGAGAGTAAAAATCAACTCCATAGAGATGTACGCATGGTCACTAATTCAAAATTATAGAATTGAATTGAAAGAAAGCTTAAAATGAATGAAAGTATAAACTTCGAATGTATATTCCATAATTTCAAAATTAATATTCAAAAGACATGTTATACTTTATATTGAAGTACACAAATTTAAATAATTAATATATAATGAGATTCAAGAACAAATCTTAGCTAAAAGCATGAGATATATTACAATACTCAAGATTGGAAGCATCAAGTAAAACATGAAACTAAAGAAGGTACTGAATTCAATATCTTAAAAACAGTGAATCTTGAATCACATTAAAGAGTATGATGTATGAGCTAAAGGGAAATGCATCCAATTATCAATCTTTTCTTCTGTTCTTTTTCTTCTTAGTTCCTCAGTCTCTCACTTGTTTTCTATCTTCAATAACCTAGAGAAACCGAGGCCTATTCAAGAAACTTACTACTCTTTCAAACTGTTTTGGGAACTGACTTGGTAATTTGCTCTACTTGGTTCTCCTAGTTTATTTTAGGGTGAATTACACTGACCTCCCTGAGGTTTGGTCAAATTACACACGGGTAGACTGTTCAACGTTTATTACTTTGACCTCCCCTAATCCCGTTTGTCGGCGGCCGGAAAGCGACTAAGTGTGAAAAGTCAATAATGCCCTTATATAATAATAATATTATATTATATTGCATTTTATATGATGGAAGGGCAAAATTGGCATTTTATAAAATTTGGTCAACAGGTCTACTAAAAAGAAAACACTAGGGGTGTTGTTGAGCACGCGCCAAATCTCAGGTTAGGTCAAAGTAACGCTTGTAGTTTACTCGTGTTTAATTTGCCCAAACCTCAGGGGAGGTCAATGTTATTTACCCTTTATTTGAGTATAACTCTAGCCAGGTAGAATGATACTGTGCCCTCATTCATTTTCCTCATCTTTTACTTAACAAGTTATTTGTGAATAAGGAAATATCCCTCATTTGAATTCACTAAAAGCAGTGGAAAAATGAAGCTTCACAAAATTAGAAAGTCATATCTCCACTTAAGGAACAAAATTATTTGCCCTTGGTCTAATTTCTCAAATTTCAATCCTAGGGTTTATTTTCAAAGGAGATTAAATGCTATTGTTCAAAAGGGCAACATAAAGTGATGCAGGAGAGAAAAAAAAATAATAATAAGAAGGAGAACATAAAGAAGAGAAGAGTGGGCAATGAAGAAAACAAAAGGAAGAGATCACACACAGGGAGGAAGAAAATCCTGAATTATTATGGTGACCTGATATTCAAACATAGAGTCTAATAAACACATTACACAAAGACTTTATAAACAACCCTACTTACTGAATTTTCTAAGAGTAAATCTGTCCAAAATATACACAGAAAATATAAAAAATAAATATTTTATAGTCTAATCTATCAATTAGAAGAAAAGAACTCTAAGATCTACCTCTGTTGCCTATGCCTGGCCTAGTTCTGAATCACATGTGACAGGCCCATAGGTTTGGTTCCCATCCTGATCTCCATCAGTTCCATCCGTCTGAGAGCTCCACAGCATCAAGATCAATTCAGTAACGCTCCTTGTATGACACAATTGATGTAGAAGATAAAGAAGGGAAAAAGAAGAGAAAAAAGTAAGAACAGGGAAAGAGGAAAACAAAGGAGGAAGAGATTTTGCATTATTGCACCAACTCGATATTCAATCATATAGCATAATAATCCAGTTAGATATGGCCTTGTATGTGAGCAAACCCTTACCAAAACCTAGTTGCTAAATATTTTAAAATAGTTATTGCCAAAAAGATAAATAACAATTATAGAAATGAACATTAAATAATGTAAGTGAGGCGAGCGAGTCTTGGCACAACGGTAAGGTTGCTCCATTGTGACTTGGAGGTCACTGGTTTGAAACAAGGAAACAGCCTCTCCGCATGCGGAGGTAAGGCTGGATACATCTAAATCGCATGCGGAGGTAAGCCTGCAATGGTGGGAGCCTCGTGCACTGGGTTTGCCTTTCATATTAAATAATGTAAGTCCTAAAATTAATAGAAAACCCCTACTCTATCTCTTGCATGGTTGCACCTACGCCTGGCATGGGTGTGAATCATGCATGCCACATAGGTTTGGGTCCAATCTGATTTCCATCATAAAGTCTTGCAGAAATGTTGTTCGATGTAATCTGCACAGCAGATAAAACATTCACATATAATGGCCACACGAACATTCTAAGGTCAAATGTATTCATTATTTTGCATCAAAATTGGCATAAAAATTGTCCCGAGCATAGTGATTTGACATCAAATATTCTTAAATCAATGTTAAATCATTACTGGAACAGCTCGCCTGAGTTGCTCCCAAATGCATAATTGTGGCATGTGTGGCTGAAGCTGTTATTATAATACAATAAATGCAGATTATTTCGCTTAGCTACTAGTCCAGTTATGTTTTCAACTTTGGAAGATGGAAAGATAGTAAGAAGTCTTGCAGGGGTTCCAAATGAAGGACCTGTCTTATTAGTTGGTTATCACATGTTGATGGGATTTGAGCTTGTTCCACTTATTGAAGAATTCTTGAGAGAGAAGAACATATTGGTTCGTGGCATCGCACATCCGCAGTTATTTACGCAGCAAGCTGAAGGTCACTCCGATTTTCTTTCTTTCTTTGATTCGATTAGACTGTTTGGTGGAACACCTGTCTCACCAAGCAACCTTTTCAAATTGCTATCTACAAAATCACATGTGCTGCTTTATCCCGGTGGGGCACGTGAGGCTCTCCATCACAAGGCATGTCAAAATTCCTTCTGTTTTATTTAGCTAGTTCTCTTTTACAATTGAGAGAACCATCTATGCTAGATTTGTACATGTTATCTTTGATAAATTGTAGGATTGTTCGTGTGTTCCTCCTTTGTCTCCCTAAAATTTGAGTGTCCTTGTTTATCACTCAGTTTCATAAATAATAAAGAAGATGCCAGGAAACTTAAAAGGCAATTTAAATATTATGAACAAAATCACTTTAGTATTTCTGCTTGTTCTGTTGCTTGTTAGAATTAAAAAAGGAACTACAAATTTTGAACCTTTTTTTTTACCCTGGAAATGAAACAATTACAAGTTTGTGTTGGGTGATATTTATGAAAGTTGGTTGATATTCTAAAGTTGCCTGCAAATATGACGTTATATGGTTATGACGTGAGTAATGCTATTTATATTTGCATGCTTGGCTGCTTCCATATCTGTTCACTCTTGTTGTTCTTATCATGTTAGTTATATATAATAGCAAACTAGGTTTCCCATTTTAATATTTAATATTATTTTCTTTCTTTCTTTCTTTCTTCATTTTCTTTTTTTCTCTGAGGTCAAGTAAAAACACCTAAATTTGCCCTTAAAATCCTTTTCCTTTCTTAAAATTCGTTGGCTTGATTTTCTGACCTTGAATATGAAACTCCGCTAAAGCACAATGCTTATGACTGGGTCTGGAGGCCTGTAGTAAAATGTGTTATTTAATTTGTTCACTCTTGAAGTGAATGCTTAAGGAATATAAATGTGTAGAATGAAATTTAAAGTCATCATATAAATTTGTTAGAACACTGAAGAAGCATTAATGCATGGTAATACCTGTGATATAAAAAATTGTTGGCAACAGGAAATGCACATTTGATATCTTTTTTTGCCTTTGTCTGAATTTCTTAGAGTCGAAGTAATTTTTAGACGGATAATATCACATGGGTTAGAGAACCATTTTATGTAAATTTTGTTTTGGGGCAAACTTATCTTTAAAATGTGGTATGTGCTTTGTTTATGATTTTTACTTTTTATATAAATTTTGTTTTGGGTCAAACTTATCTTTACATAGTGGTAACTGCTTTGTTGATGATTTTTTCTTTTAATTGTAATTGAAGTCTGGAAAGTTGTAAACACGGAAAGTTGTTAGTTATTTTATATATTACTCTCTCAACTCCATTTATTTTTCTAGTGAAATTTCTGAAACATTTCTGCTTCCTAGTTTCGCAACGAAGTTTTGGTTGAAAATCTCAATTTCAAACGTTTCCATCATGTTAGAAAATATCATTATTAGAGTTATTTAATCCCTTGGTAGAATATTGATAGGAGCAATTCATGGGATTGATTTTAGGAATCCCTGTTCAATATATTTTTCATATTTATCGCATGTTTGTATTATTTCACCTATAAATAGAGGTGGTCATTCCGTCATTGTAATCAAAATTAACAAAGAATATAATGAAAGAGATGTAACCCTTTAGGATTTGTGTTCCTTGGATGTAGACCATAGTGGTCGAACCACGATATGTTGTTGTGTTGTTCATGCTTAATTTCTGTCTTCAATTTTATATTTTTTTAACATGGTATCAGAGCAAGTTGATCATACCCTACTCCAATTCGGTTTTCCCCTTGTTTCATGTTGATTGCTTTTCCCTTCACTCTCAATTTGTTAGGCAAAGTATTGTTGGTTTCTTTGCCATCATTTTGCACATTGACATCATTTCGTGCTTTTTTTTTTTCCTTGTACCCTAACTTATGGCTGCGAATTTTTGTCACATCAATTGTGGAATCATCAAAGGAATGTCTTTGTGACCATATTATTCAAGGGGAGCCTCTACACCAAATATCATCATCTGTTGTCATCTCATTGTTGCTGTAGGTTATTTTCATACGCTAATACACATAGGTGGTTATATGCCACGTTTTCTCGTGTTTGGGATCATGTATGTTCTTCACCCTTGCGGACCTTACTTAGTTCATTCAATAACAATTTCTCTCCACAACTTCATATTTAATTTCAAGTTGGACACTTGAGTTAAAATCTCCATGTACCAACTTGAGGGGGAGTGTTAGAAAATATCATTTGTGGAGCTATTTAATCCCTTGATAGAATATTGATAGGAGTGATTCTTGGGATTGATTTTAGGAATTCTCCATCAATATGTTTTTTGTATTTATCACATGTTTGTATTCTATCACCTATAAATAGAGGTGGTCATTGTAATCAAAATTAACAGAGAATATAATGAAAGAGATGTAACCCTTTGGGTGTGTGCGTGGATGTAGGGCGTACTTGCCGAACTACATTATATTCTTGTGTTGTTCATGGTTAATTTCTCCCTTCAATTTAATATTTTTTAACACATCAAAATGAAGTTTTTTCTATCTAAACATACCAAATTGTCAATCTTGTCTTTCTTAACAATACTCAGTGAAAGACTGATGTTATTATCAGAAGGCAATATCTATTTTTCTTCAAGGAAAAGAAATGTTAAGATTGAAGGATTGTAATCCAAAAATGACACAGAGTATCTCCAGATTCTCCAAAAAAACATAGTATATAAGAAATAGAAGAAGAGGAGTGAGAGAGGAGATGGGAGAAGATTTTAACATAATAGTAGGTTGCAAATTATTATAGCTTAACTTGCTAATTGTTTTGCTAAGTTTTTTTATGTTACTTGTAAAGTGTGTTAAAATGTCTGCATCATGTATATATATTTTAGTTTATGCCTATCATATTATCATGCTATATGCCTTTCTTTATTAAGATGATGCAGTATTACATGTTGACAATTTGATGAGTTTATTCACATTGGAAATTACTCTTTAATTTCATCCTAGTGACCTCTTTTGTAAAAGATGCATACGCTTGAACGGTATTCATTTAATCAACTACGTGGTTTATATTCAGTCATTAATAGATCTTGTTATATGTATCATAGTGTCTCCACCTCTCTCTTCCCCCCCCCCCCCCCCCCCCCCAAAAAAAAAAAAAAAAAAAAAAACCCATTTTCTATTATGTTCTCCAAATCTTTATGGAAAGTTATCATTTTCAAGCTGACCGAAATGATATAGTTTTGTCCATTCCAAAATGGATAACAAAGATGGAAAAATCATTAGTGTAAGTGAGAAGCCAGGGGGCAAACCACATTCTCATGAAATTAAATCATTAGTGTGATTGATAGTATGGTCTAAGGTGAAACTACAAGAGCCAATATGGTTCTTTTCACTCTTTTATTTATTATTTATTAATTTATTATTATTTTTCTTTGTTAAAATTTTTGCTTCTCCTTCAATTACTTGATTTTACATGTTGTCTTTACCAATATATTGTTTTCACTAATTTATGATTAAAGATTTAGATGTACAATTTCCATTAGTATTGTGTTTTAACCTGGTTGATGTTTCAAGGCATAGAATGGAGTTGGACAGCTTGTTACATTTGATTTATGGAGAGGAAATAGACATTAGGGTTGTAGATTGCCAATGTTTCTTTAACTAATATGTCATTAGAATTGTAGGAAATAGTTGCTGGAGTTTATGCAATATAAATCTGTTAAGATTACTTGAACTACAAAAAATCTGAATATCTAAAAAATGAGATGAGTAGAGGAGTTCCACCTCATATTTAAAGTTTAATGGTGTCTTAACCATTAAAAATATGGAGCTACATTGGAAAAAGATGGACATTTTACTGAGATGAAATTTTGACGTGCGACTGTTCAGCTAGTAAATCCTTCACTATCCATTTATATGTAGTGGTGATACTATCACACGCTATATATATACCAAGAGAGAAAATTGGGAGGCTGCTGAGAGAGGCCATTGTCATGTTGCATATAATGAGTAAGGCACTTCCATTCTAGTTGCTTAATGCAATGCACATTGGTTTTATTGATAAATGTATATTTAATATTCACAAAAAATTTTGGTTCTGGACATTGATGGTGCTTCTATGACTCCCAGGGTGAAATGTATAAGTTATTTTGGCCTGAACAACCTGAGTTCGTTAGGATGGCAGCAAGGTTTGGGGCCACCATTTTACCATTTGGAGTTATTGGAGAAGATGACATGGCAGAAGTAAGCATGCTCTTTTCTTTTCTCTTTTTTCCTTTTCTTTTAAAGAAGGAATTTAATAGAAACAACGTTTTTGATAGTTAAACTAAATTTTTTTGACGTATGCATTTTTCTAAAGCTGTATTTTAGCCATTGTTTTCTTTTTTCCCTGTTTTTGGAAGTTGCTAATTTTAAGGGCCAACTAGAAATATGTAACAACTCATATCTTATTCCTCACTATATCAATGGAGCTGTGAGATGTTTGGTAGTCAGGGTGGTTTTGTATTTTAAAAATGAAAGTTTCAATTAGAACGGATTAGTATAATCTGAGTAGCACAGACACAGACACGACAAACCGATACAGTACAACACAGATACGCTAACATGTCAAATTATTGAAATGTAAGACATGGACACGACTATGTATAAGTAACAGAAAATTAGATTTTTCACATACCTATGGAAGACAACTATTAGAATTTTGATTAATTTTCTAATTTCATATTATGAATTGCGTAATGTGAAGGATGAAGCTATGAGATGTTATAAATTTTTTTGTTTTTAATATACTACTACGAGTGCTTTGCTATTATATTTTTTTTTCATTATGATTATATTCTTGTGCTATCTTAAGAAGTATCTTTTACATGTGTGACTTAAGATGACCATGTGTATAATTTTAGTCTTTCCTAAAAAATAGATTGGACAATTTGGAATGTGTTCACATTGTTCCCAAGATAATTGGGCATGGGGAGTGTCTGGTTTATATCGGCCAAGTATCTAAAATGATAGAACTAATTTTATAATTACGGAAACGCCTATGAGTTAGTGGACACGTGTCTAGGTTGTGAAGTGTCAATGTCTGACATGGGTCCAACACGGACATGGAACCTTCATAGAAGGTTCCGTGCATCTTAGGTTTGTTTAATTTCATAAAATAACAGAGAATGCTTATGGTGATAGACTGATAGTAATGAGAGAGGTGTGGTGAATGACAATCACTCTGACAGTAATCTGACCTAGAGTAGTGGATGCTACTGTTGCAATGATGAGGGGATTAAAAGAGTGGCAAGGATAATAAGTGGTGGTAATGTTAGTAGGTTGGTAGTGGTCTGGTGGTGAGCAGGCAATTGCAGTGGTGATGGCAGCAGCAATGGTGATGGTGGTGGCATTATTTGAAGTGGTGTGGGAGTTGCAATGTTAGTGGTGGTTGGGAGAGAGCTGTCATCCTTACCATTGTTGTTGTGGCAGTAATAATGGTAGAGCAGTAATATTCTGATCGTGTTGGCAGATGGGGATGGTGGCTGTGGTTGTGGAAGCTGAGGGGATGGTGGTGTGCTGTTGCAGTGTAAATGGTGGTGATGAGGGTGTTATGGTGGTAGTTGAGGCAGTTGGGGAAGTGGTGATGATTGTTGGTTGGTGCGGTGGTTTTGGTTGTGGTGGCTACCCGTGCAATCAAGCCATATTTGTCCGTCCTTAAAAACTGCCAAGTGATCCACTCCCATTATTGCGTGTGAACAAAATTTTAAAATGTTTTTTTAGGTTTCTCTGGGTAACAGCCAGCCCTCCTAAGTTCCTAACACAGTAGACTGAGAAAATCAATTCTAGGTGATGCCCTCTTTTTAAGGAGTCATAATAGTGCAGGATATTCATAGGAACCCCTGGCCTAAAGGAGTCTAGAAACACATCTAAAACCCTAAAGCCCATCATGGGAAGATAATTATGTGAAACAGCCAAGGATCGTCTCATTTTTCTTATAACAGATGCTGAACATTAATTTAGCCTACTTTTCATATTAAAAAAAATAAAAAATAAAAAAAAAACACTAACTATTAAGAAATTTTTAGGGCCATCATAGTATCTATACAGTTAGAAGAGTCTCAAGAACTCCTTTAGCATCCATGTGTGGCTTCTTGGCTGGAAGCATTGTTTGTTGTTTATTTTTATTTTTGGTTAAAAGGTTACAGTAAGCCTCACTGCTCGATTATGCACAAAGAGAGGGAAATTGAAGACAATGGTAATCGTACAATTAAAGCAGGGTGGTTAAAATGGATTATTGCTTCTGCCAATATCAGCATATATGGACTGTTGGGATTGGATGCTTGGGTTATTTGGGATCCCCTGGGTCATGCCTAGATCCTTTAGAGGGTTGATTGAGGCTTGGAGAGGTCTTTCTGTGGGGGCTCTCATTCGGGATGCTTGGAGGACTACGCCTCTTTGACTCTTTGTATTTGGTGGTGCATTTGGCTTGAGAGAAATTGAAGATATTTTAAGGGAAAGGAGAAGCCTATTTCTATGCTTAAGTTCTCTATTATTTCCACTCTTTTTTATTGGGATTCAGGGAGAGATTATAGATCTGTTGAGGAAATTGTTGTTTTTTTGGCCTCTTTGAAGGCTTGAGGCGTTTTTTTTTTGTTTTTTTTGTTTTTGCCTTATGTGTTTCTTTGGGATTCACTCCCCCTTTTGAGTGCCTTTTATAAAAATTTTACTTATAAAAAAAAAAAATATCAGCGTATACCGCTAAGTTTGAAAGGTAAAGTTTACAAAACAACTAATAGACCAGTTACACTTTACGGGACAATAATGTTGGGTGGCTAAAAAATAACACACTCTAAAATGAGTGTGGAAGAAATGCCAATCTCGAGATGGATTTATGGCAAAAATAAATAAAGATATAAAATAGAAATGAACACTTCTTTTTGATGGTTCAAGTAGCACGATTGGAGATAGAAACGAGAGAACCAGTTTCAATGGTTTGGCCGCGTGCAGCGACGGCCAATTACTGCACTAATATGTAAAAGTGATGTGATCAGGGTGATGCTTGGGAAAGGGTAACACCAAAACTAATGTGGGTTGAGATATTTAGGAAATATACGATGACATGTGGTTTAATTGATGCTATGGTCTCAGATAGAGGAGAATTGCATAAAGGAATTCATTTAGCTAACCCCAAAATAGATGATTTGTTCAGTTGAGTAAGCCCTTCACTCTACCTTTCCTCTGCCTAGCCTGATGAAGGGGGGATTTGATTCCAAATGTTCGTTTTTTGCCCCCTGGCTGCCCAAAAGTTGCGATATTTTTCTGGCAAGTATGTTTTAAAACATAATCATACAGATTCTGGTTTCTTATTCATCAGACCGTGTGATGTCCCTCTCATGGTATGATACAAAATGTGAACTTTTTGTTCGTTGTATGAAGTCTTAGGTGCTATTTGATAAAATTGACAATTTTAAGAGCTGAATTTTATGATGTGTTCGGTAGGAAGGAAGAGGGGTGGAGAGAAAATAGGAAGGAAGAAACGAACTTCCTTTGTTCGGTAGAGATGATACAAGAAAAAAAAAGAAAAATAGGAAGGATCTCCTTTACAAATTTTCGTCCGCCTAAAAGTAGGCGGAAGAAATGAGGGAAAACGAGTGGACTATTATAGAAATTTTAAATTAAATACTATCCTAAATTATACGAGTTTTAAATTACAATACTATTTTCTATAAATTACAGTATTATAAATATTTTTGGATATAATGGTAAAAACAATTAAAACTCTCTCTTTCCTTCTCTCTTAACGAACATAGTAAATTATGAGTTTATTCTCTTCTCTTCTATCCAATCGAACAAAAAGAAGGAAATAAACAATCTCTTCCCTAGGGATGTCTCATTCAACCCTTCTTCTCTCCCTTCCATCCAATTTTTTTCTTTCCTGTCGAACAGAGCATTAAGTCTTAAAGTTTTAGGCAATAATTGTAAATTGAATATATATATATATATATATATATATATATATATATATATATATTTTGAATTTTGAGTATTCACATTCAATAATAAGTGAAGATACTGTTACTTAAAAATTTTATCTCATTTTAAGTGGCACTTATTTTTTAAGTGATATTCAAAATGCTTCAACAAACACACATACTTAGATAATCACTTAATCCATTCAGAATTAAGTGCTGAATTTGGTTATCAAATTGCACCTTATTTTCTTTCCTTGATGAAAGAGTGTGCAATGTGTTGTATCTATGTGTAACCTTTTATGGACGAGGTGATTATGCAAGGTCAAAATTATATTCTACTACGTTTTGAATATTATTATTATTATTTTTTTTCTTTCTGATTTTTCTTTGATTTCATCTGCTGATGCATCCATCTTGTTTCCAGTGCATGTATATATTTTTTTTCTCATTGCTGCTCTTTCTTCTTTGTTTCAGCTTTATGCATATATGTCTTCTTGCATGACTAAGGATTAAGTCCGCTCTCTTCTTACCACTTATTTTTGTTTTATTCCTTCATTTTATTAATTTATTTTTTTTCATTTATCTTCGACGGATCTGTATGATCCACAACTTAGCTTTTTGGTTTGAAATTTGAATTATTTGAACTTTTGGATGTATGATTATTTAATTCTCTCTCTCTCACCGCTTGCATCAACACTCTGTTATCTATAATCTTGATGACCTTCAGTTTGGCTATATGATCACCTTTTGATGCCACAGCTAGTACTTGATTACAACGACGTGATGAGAATCCCTGTACTTAATGACCACATTAGAAAAGCTAATCAAGACGGTATAAGATTGAGGTAACTACTCTTACTTGGACAAATTATACTCTTTTCCCGATATTTTGTTACAAGCCTATATTTATAGATCACTATAGTGCTGTCTAATTTTTATGATCAAAATATTGAAGCTACCTTTGTTGTCATGGGATATGCTTTGGTAATAGGGCTGAAATGGATGGGGAGATTGCCAACCAACATCTGTTTTTTCCGGGCGTTTTGCCCAAGGTTCCCGGTCGCTTTTACTATCTTTTTGGAAAGCCAATACAAACAAAGGGAAAGAAAGAGATGCTGAAAGACCGACGAAATGCAAAAGAATTGTACATGCAGATAAAATCCGAGGTTGAACGCAGTATGGCTTATTTGATTAAGAAGAGGGAAGAAGACCCTTATAGGGGTATCATTGAAAGAACCGTATATCGTGCAGCTTTTGCTCCCACAGATCAAGTCCCAGCATTTGAACCAGAGCAACTGGTTTAGAATGGTAGATCATTTTATTTTTAACAAACCCGTCATTGTATACATGGAATGTCGTTTATGTATGATATATGTTATTCATAAAACAATATTGTTTTTGTACAAAATTTGTGTGAGCCTAATTTTATCGTCAAAGACATCAATATATGGTCTAGATATGCATCTGGTGGTACTTGGGTCTGAAAATGAAGAATTGAAAGATATGGTGTATTTTTTCATTGATGGTGCCTTGCAAAATAGAGGAAATTTAATTTTGTTAAAAATAAATTCCTCAATGATTCTGTTTCTTTCATCTTCTCGTAAAATTTATCATATTTTAATTAAATTTCAACTAAAAGAAGAAAAGGAAAAAAAAAAATCAATCTTGCTTGTGTGATATCGCTTGAACTTTCGGGAAAAAAAAAATTTAAATAAATAAAAATATACATCACTGTTGGTATTTTCTCAAGATTTAGCTGTGCATTGAAAAGTTTAAGTCACTGCAAAGTGCAAACCATGCACTAATGCACCGTATATTGATTGTCAAATTGGCCCTCTAACTTAGAAATTTCAAATATAAGGGTCTGAATTATGAACTGTTAAATCATCTTGTTCGGATTATGTGACAATATGTAATCTTAAATGAAAAAAGGTAATATTATTTGTTGAGGTTGAAATTCGCCGCGACCTGGTACGACACCGTTTCCTGCAAAACCAAAACGGTAAAGTCAAACACCGGTGTGGTGCCGGCCGTTGACCCTCCGACGATCAAGTTAGTAGGAGAGAAATAATTTTTTATAGTAATTTCCGTAGTAGGAGATCTTTTTTTGTGTACCTTATTCCCGAGTCGTCTTCGTATTTATAGTTAGTTCCCTTATTCTTGATAAGGGAATTTCATCGTCCTTAGCCCATGGAGTTTATCCCGTAGAAATCTTATCCTTGATAAAATTTGAACTTACCCCATGACAAATCTTATCCTTGATACAATTCGTCATCATTCTCATCCAATAGAAATGGTTATCCATATTATCGCTTGAAAGTTGAAGAGGGTCTGGCGACTAGTCAATACTTAATTACCTCTGTCATTAGGTCAAGATAGGTTAGGGTTATTTTTTCCTATCAGTTGCCCCCTATTTCTAAGTACGTTTTGGACCAAGAAAATACTTTATATATTTTATTTTTCCTTTTTACTACAAGCTCCTTCCATATTGTAGTAGGGCTCCTTTACAAGAACTTCACTGTTACTTGAAAAAGAATTTTTCTATAAATAAATATATATATTTATTTACCTCCATTTTTTTTTTTGGGTCTGAAATCCTTTAAACTGGATCCTAACTGTGAGTTTTTTGTGGATCGTTGTAGACACGTAATTGGGTCAATCGTCTCTACCGGGTTATCGGTGTAATTCCACAGTGGTTTCGCTATTTTCGCGATATCCAATATCTCATCATGTCCGTGCAGGAAAATAACTTGAATATTGAATCCCAATCTGAAGATTCAACCTCTGAAAGTGTCGAAGAACTTGATCCTGATTATGCTGACGAATCTGGTGTTGATTATTCCTCAAGACCAAGGACTGCTTTTTCCAAGCAACCTCCACGTGACGGAGAATCTTTAATTAAGGATGAGAATTTACAGAATTGTAGATTCAAATATTCCATTCCTTCATCTATTCACCTTTACAAACCCAAGCCAGACGATAAATGTTCTTCTATTCGTTTGGGCGAGGTATACTTTTTCGAGTTGACTTTTGCTGCGGGCTTGCGTTTTTCGATTCATCCATTTGTAGAAGAAATTCTTTCTTATCTGAAGATAGCTCCCTCTCAAATTGCCCTTAATTCTTGGAGAATTATTATAGGCTGTTTGATTGTTTGGGGAAGGTGTGGTAATGGTCGTCTAACCGTAAATCAATTCTTGAATTTTTATTATCCCAAGAAGAAAAATGATAACTTTTGGTACTTTCAGTGTCGATCAAGGAAGATATTCCTCATTGTTGCAGCTCCTGAAAATAATAACGGCTAGAAGAGTCGTTTCTTTTTTATTTCCGGTGCATACGGGAAATTTCCCAGTGTTTGGAGTAATTCAAACCCTGTAGGTATGATATATAACAATGTATATATATGTTTTTTTTTTTTTTTGTGAACAGTACCCGTGGGTGCTATTCCCGTGGGTACTATTCATGTGAATAGTACGCACAAATTTTTATTTTTTATTTTTACTGTAAACAGTACTCGTGGGTACTATTCATGTGAATAGTACTCACAAATTTTTATTTTTTTTTAAACTGTGAACAGTACCCGCGGGTACTATTCATGTGAATAGTACTCACAAAATTTATTTATTTATTTAAACTGTGAACAGTACCTGCGGGTACTATTACTCACAAAATTAAATTTAAAAAAAAAAAAACTGTGAACAGTCCCCACGGGAATAGTACTCACAAAATTATTATTATTTTTTTAAAACTGTGAACAGTACCCGCGGGTACTATTCATGTGAATAGTACTCACAAAATTAAATTTTTTTTTTTTTTTTTTAAACCTGTGAACAGTACCCGCGGGTACTATTCATGTAAATAGTACTCACAAAATATATATATATATATATATATATATATATATATATATATATATATTTAAGAGAATTGCGATTTACAATTCTGTTTCCCAGACTTTAAGGCGAAACCAGCTCTCTCAGCCCAAGAAAAAGAAAATGTTGATAACGCCCTTGCACACCCAGTGAAGACCTTTAGTGATCTTATGACAGAGGAAGCTCTAGAATTGTATGTACGAGCTACTAGCTCAACTGAATCCCACCCATTCAGAGAAAGGTAAGAAAAACAAAGGTACTTATACGTAAACTTACTAATTTTAGTTAATATTTTATTAAATATTTTCTTTACTACTCTTTATGTAAGCCAGAAACTCAGTAAAAGGCTCCTAGCCCAAGTCCGGTCAAGTAATCTTCCCTCTACTCTTGCTTCCAAGCAATTACGAAGGGTAGGAGAGCAAAATCATGGTAGATCTTCAAACCCTGGTGTGTTACCGGGTCCCACTCTTATATCTCTAGGTTTCAGTGGATTTGGCGAGGTTCCTATGAGTTTCGAGAGTTTTAGTTCGGTATCAACCAACTAAGCATTTTCCCAAGGGGAGTCAATTCTCGATAACGCTAATGTCGTGTATAATAGGCTACATAAAATGGTAGTAAAAGACGACGCTGCCAGATTGCAGAACCTGCCATCATCTGAGCTTTCAAGGAAATTTCTTCATCTAATTAGCCAAGTGAGATTTTGCCCTTATCATGTGCATCTTTTTCTTTTTCAACTATTTGCCACTATTTATTTATTTATGTATTGATTTATAGGGCACAACATACTCTGTTGTTATTACAAAAGAATATGAAAAACTTTTCCTAGAGATGGCTTCCCTCAAGGCTAAATACGAAGATGTTACTTCTATGCTTAAAAGAAGATGACTTGGCTAATGCGAAATTAAACTTTCAAGATGAGAAAGTGAGACTTACCAAAGAATACTTCGATAAGCTGGAATTTGAGAAGTTAGCTGCCGTGGAGAGCTTTAAGAATTCTAACGAGTTCAAGGTGCTCATAGCCAAGGCTTATTGTGATGGTTTTGACCAGTTCAAAGCTTTTGCCAACAAAGATCGTCCAGACATAGATTTTTTTATGTATGATATTCTGGCGGAGAGTGAAGAGGAAGATTGAACTCCATAGTAACAGTCATATATATATATATATTAGGGTTTTTTTTTTTTTTTTTTAGCATGTCGATCCCTTAGAACTGTTCAAAATATCTCTCAACTCAGAGAATAGTTGCTCTTCTTTTGACATCTCTCAACTTAGAGAATAGTTGTTTTTCTTTTGACATTTTGTCTTTCATGATATTGCTTCATACTCGTTACTTCCATATGCAGAATTTCTTTTACTTTTTCAGGCTTTACTCAGCCTGTCCTTCTTCTGAAGGAATGTCTTTTTACGAGCTTCGCCTAGCTCGTCCCTTTAGTAAGGGAATATTTCTTTTAATAAAGAAATTGACTTAATGCTTTACTAGACCTCTCGTGATTTATTAAATTCAGTAATAACGTAATCAGCAGTAGAAACACGTGAAATAAATACGAATTTTATTAAAGACTTATCGAAAACAATATTTGATAGTCGAGCATTAGCATCCATTAAACATTGGTCTGCTTTATTGAAGCTAAAAACATACTATCACTTTTAAAAGTGCGACAATAAGACATAGCCTGTACCTACTGGTAATATTTCTTTAAATGTTCTGCATTCCATGGGTGGAGAAGTTGGCTCCCACCAAGTGTCTCTAACCAATATGCCCCCGGTCTGTTGCACTGGATTACTCGATAGGGGCCCTCCCAGTTGGGAGCTAACTTTCCTTCCCCTTTCACCATAGTAGCCGGGGTAACCTCGCGAAGCACCAGGCCCTCTAGCTCGAACCTCCTTAGCTTGACCTGGGCGTTGTAGTACTTGGATACCATCCGTTGGTAAGCTGCAACCTTGATTTGGGTCTGCTCTTTTTTTTCTTCTAACAAGTCCAAGTTTAACCGTAGTTCCATCTCGTTCTGTTGAGGTTCAAAATACTTGGTTCTGAAAGTAACAACCTTTGTTTCTACCGGGATCACAGCTTCACTTCCAAAAGCTAAACCAAAAGGGGTCTCCCTAGTGGGGGTTCTTACGGTAGTGCGATAGGCCCATAAAACTCCGGGTAGTTGTTCAGGCCACAAGCCCTTGGCCTTTTCTAGGCGTGTCTTGATCATCTTTAGTATTGTCCTATTCGTGACCTCAACTTGCCCATTGGCTTGGGGATGAGCAGGAGAAGAGAAATGAACTTTGACCCCAAGTTCATTACAAAAATCAAGGAACTGCTCACTTTTAAACTGCTTCCCATTATCGGTCATAATTACCCTTGGTGCTCCGAACCTACAGATTATTGTCTTCCAGAAAAACTTTTTTACTTCATTCGCTCCAATATAAGCTAACGGCTCAGCCTCCACCCATTTGGTGAAATAATCGATAGCCACAATTGCGTATTTAGTTTGTCCCTTCCCTTGGGGTAAGGGGCCAATGAGGTCCGTCCCCCATTAGGCAAAAGGCCATGGCCCTGTAAGAGGGGTTAACTCTTCTGCTGGTCATTTCGGGACATTGGCGAATCTCTGGCACTTGTCACATTTCCTCACAAACTCAAGCGAATCTTTCCTCATAGTAGGCTAAAAGTATCCTTGTCGGATAGCTTTATGCGCTAGTGATCTGCCCCAGCATGGTTTCCACAAAGGCTTTCATGTATATCCTTTAGAATGTAATTCGCCTCATCTATGGAGACACAATGCAAGTAGGGTAGAGAAAATCCCTTCTTGTAGAGAACCCCTTCAATGAGGCAATATTTTGCTGCACACATCCTGATCTTTCGTGCTTCCATGCGATCCTGGGGTAGCTCTTCATTCTCTATGTACCTGATAATGGGTTTTGCCCATTCCATACCTTGGATCACTTGGTGTATTTTCTGTGGCCAATCCCAAACTATGCTAGGCTCATCCAAATGTTCCACAGGTATAGCTTTATCCTCCTCTGCTGCGGTTGCTAGTCTGGCTAAAGCGTCTGCTTGACCATTATCTTCTCGGGGAATCTGATGAATGGAAAACTTTTTAAAGAAGCCTTTGATATCTTCTATCTTATGCAGATAGGTCTTCATCTTCTCATCCTTTGCTTCATATTCCCCCTGGACTTGTCCAGTTATTAGTTGAAAATCAGTATACGCTATTAGTTGCTCAACTTCTAGGGCTTTAGCCATCATGAGGCCTGCCAGGAGGGCTTCATATTCCGCCTCATTGTTGGTTGCTTTAAACCCAAACCTGATAGCGTATTTAATGCATTCCCCCTCTGGGGAAACAAGTACTAGCCCCGCCCCACTTGCACGGGCGTTGACCGATCCATCCACATACAATGTCCAAGTAGATTCAGTTTCTTCTTGTTCATCTACGCCGTGCTCGTGCCTATCTTCTGATGTGAATTCTACTATAACATCTGCCAGTACTTGAGCTTTTAAGGCCGTTCTGGGTTTGTATTGGATATCAAACTCTCCAAGTTCTACTGACCACTTCATGAGTCGCCCCGAAGTATCAGGTTTGCGGAGGACTTGCCTAAGTGGTTGGTCTGTCAATACTATTATGGTATGTGCTTGGAAGTAAGGCCCGAGTTTCCTTGCAGAGATAACTAGGGCAAGGGCCAACTTTTCTATCCTTGGGTACCTCTCTTCTGCCCCTCTGAATGCACGGCTAGTATAATATACTGGCTTTTGGATTCCATCCTCTTCGCGGACTAAGGCTGAACTTACTGCCGATGGAGAAACCGCCAAGTACAAATACAACTGCTCTATTTGCATTACCCGTGATAGTAACGGTGGTGAAGTGAGATACTCATTCAGTTCTGTAAAAGCTTGCTCACACTCAGGTGTCCATCAAAAAGCTTTCCTGAGCACACGAAAAAAAGGCAGGCATTTATCCGTTGCCTTGGAAATCAACCTATTCAGAGCGGCGATTCTTCCTGTCAATCTTTGAAGTTCCTTAGTTGATGTTGGAGACCGCATGTTGAGAATTGCTTGGATTTTCTCGGGGTTGGCCTCTATCCCTCTCCTGCTTACCATGTAACTAAGGAATTTCCCTGAGGAGACACCAAAGGCACATTTGTCTGGGTTGAGTTTCATTTGGTATTTCCTGAGGACTTGGAATGTCTCCTGTAGATCAACTAGGTGATCTTGAGCTTTTAAGCTTTTTACCAGCATGTCATCTACATTTACCTCCATATTCCTTCCGATTTGATTCTTGAACATCAAGTTGACTAGCCGCTGGTATGTTGCACCAGCATTTTTAAGCCCAAAAGGGATCACCTTGTAGCAATACAAACCTATGTCCGTGACAAAAGAGGTCTTTTCTCTATCTGGTGGATGCATTAAGATTTGGTTATATCCCGAATATGCATCCATGAAACTGAGGAACTCATGGCCAGTCGTTCCTTCTACTAACATGTCGATTCTTGGCAGAGGGAAGCTATCTTTGCGGCACGCCTTATTTAAATCGGTAAAGTCTACGCACAACCTCCATTTTTCATTGGCCTTTTTTACCAAAACAACATTGGCCAACCAGTCGGGATAATTGACCTCTTGGATGAAATCAGCTTTCAGAAGCTTGTTCACCTCTTCTGATATAGCCATGTTCCTCTCCGCGGCAAATGTTCTTCGTTTTTGCCTGATAAGTTTGACTGTGGGATCCGTGTTTAATCGATGCTCGATTGTAGCTGGATCAATACCAGGCATGTCTTCATGTGACCATGCAAACACATCTTGATTCTGTCTGAGGAACTGTACAAGAGTATTCATGAAGTCTAAGGGGAGTAGAGACCCTATCTTCACCTTTTTTGTTACGTCATGGTCATTTAAGCATATCTCCACCAGGTCCTCAATTGACTTGGCTCGATCTCGCTCATGTTCTTCAATTTCTTCGACAACCAAAGCCTTTTACTGCTTCTTTTCTCTCAGAGATGCAACATAGCATTCTCTGGCAGTGGTCTGATCTCCTCTTAGTTCGCCTACGCCCTGCTCTGTAGGGAAACGCATCAAGAGGTGATAAGTCGAAGTGATTGCCCTTATCGAGCTTAAGGTAGTTCTTCCTAGGATAACATTGTAAGCAGATGGGCAATCCACCACCAGGAAGTCTACCATAACAGTAACTTGTTTCGGGCTGGTTTCTGTAGTGACATGAAGAATGACCGCTCCCAGAGGGTAGACCTTATCTCCCGTGAATCCCACCAATGGTGATCTAGTAGGTCTGAGTTTCTCCTTACCAATATTCATTTTGCTGAATGCATCAAGGAAAATGACATCAGCCAAACTTCCATTATCCACCAAGATCCGTCGAGTAGTATAGTTAGCGATCATCATGGTGACAACGAGAGGGTCGTCATGGGGTTGTTGCACATCCTTAATATCTTCATCTAAGAATGTGATAACAGGATCACCTAGACGTGGCATTTATCGGTGTGGATTCTGTATTCCAACTTTGCAAACTTCAGATGAGTTTCGCATTCTCCTGGCATAGGCCTTATAGGCTGAGCTTGATTCTCCACCACCTGCACATCCCCCAGCTATGACCCTGATTTCTCCCATTGGTTGTTGATCAGGGAGGCGGTTATCTCGGCCTGCTCTTGGTAGATTAAAGTAGGTTCTGTCATTCCCCACCATAAATTTTCACAAGTGCCCCCTTCGGATTAAAGTCTCAATCTGATCCTTGAGGTCGAAGCAATCCTCTGTGGCGTGCCCATAGTCTTTATGGATCCTACAATACTTATCACGAGGTCTCCTCGCCGGGTCTGACTTCAATTTTGGTGGCCACTTCAGATATGGTTCATCCTGGATCTACAGAAAAACTTGATCTATTGGCATATTTAAAGGAGTGTAATTTGTATATCTCTCCGCGCTCTTATAGCGAGATGCCCTTTCATTCTGGTTGATCATAGGTTTCTTATACTTGGTTTCCTTTTCATCTTTGGTTATCAGAGCCAGCCTTTTCTTGCCTGCCTTCTTATTATCCCCTTCTTTCCCCTTTCTTGCCATCATTGCATTTTCATCATTCATATGTTTTTTAGCTCGAACCAATAACTCGGCCATGCTGGTAGGGGGTTCTTCTGATAAAGAGAAGAGAAATCTCGAGGTTTAGAGTCCTCCCATAAAGGCGGCTAAAGCCACCTTGTCATCCGCTTCATTCACCTGCAACATTTCCGTATTAAAACGACCAATGTAGTCTCGCAGTGACTCTCCTTTCTGCTGCTTTACAATAAGAAGGTAGGTAGCCGACCTTCTATGCTTCTGGCCAGCAATGAAGTGTCCCACGAAACGCTTACTCAATTCTTCAAAGGTTTCGATGGTCCTTGACTTCAGCTTGTTAAACCACACTCGTGCTGATCCTTTGAGAGTTGTTGGGAAAGCCCTGCACATGATCTTATCTGGCATCGCGTGCAAATGCATTAGTGCTTGAAAAGTCTCCAAGTGGTCGATGGGATCTTTAGTTCCGTCGAAATTCTCAATTGAGGGCATTCTAAATTTGCTCGGCAAGGGGCATTTCATAACCGAGGGACTGAACGGCAAGTTGGTCTTCTGCACCAAACTATCTATGGCTGCAATACCTTTTCCCTTTATGACCTGCATCACATCCTCTATCTTTGCCTTGAGATCTTGTATCTCTGTGTCAACGTGGGAAATCTCCTTTGTCTTTTCAACGACAGTTGTGTTTTCATGAGGTCGGGAACTCTGTGGAAGAGATGGGTGGATCACTTCTCTATGTCGGTTCCCTACCTGGCTTTGTTCTACTTTGGTCTTATGTCGAGAAGGATGATTATCCTACCCTTCAGGATTCCCATTACCTCTATTCGGGTTCGAGAGATCTTGTCGTGGCAAGTTCTGTTGAACCGGTGGAACAAGGTGTTGCAAGATTGCTACATTTTGCTGGATCAACTGGTCCATACCCTGATTTAGAGTTTGGACCTGTTGTTCCAACGCTGCAAGCCGCTCCTGGTCATTTGGGATGTCTAGGTTTTCACCCGACTCTTCCCTTTGACCAGATCCGTGTAACGATGTTCCTTCGGTGACCATACCGGATCGCAAACGTATCTACCCAACTGAGTATTAATATAAGGGAATTGTCGTTCCCACAGACGGCGCCAACTGTTGAGGTTGAAATTCGCCGCGACCTGGTATGACACCGTTTCCTGCAAAACCAAAACGGTAAAGTCAAACACCGGTGTGGTGTCGGCCGTTGACCCTCCGACGATCAAGTTAATAGGAGAGAAATAAATTTTTATCGTAATTTCCGTAGTAGGAGATCTTTTTTGGTGTACCTTATTCCCGAGTCATCTTCGTATTTATAGTCACTTCCCTTATTCTTGATAAGGGAATTTCATCGTCCTTAGCCCATGGAGTTTATCCCGTAGAAATCTTATCCTTGATAAAATTTGAACTTACCCCATGACAAATCTTATCCTTGATACGATTCGTCATCATTCTCATCCAATAGAAATGGTTATCCATATTTATCGCTTGAAAGTTGAAGAGGTTTGGCGGCTAGTCAGTACTTAATTACCTTTGTCATTAGGTCAAGATAGGTTAGGGTTATTTTTCCCTATCATTATTCTCCTTTATTGTTTCATTAAAATACCAAAACAAACAAAAAGAAATTTCTCCAATAAACGTTAAATGCAAAATCTTGAACTCATGCGCTCAAAGAGTCAACAAGACATATCTAACCAGTGCATTGCAAAAATAGTTTCACTATAAAAAAAATAAAAATCCTTCTAGCCTAATCTATCCAAATCTTTTTAAGCATTCACAATGCAGTAACTTTTTTTTTTTTTTTTTATCCTCACTCCTAAAATGATGTTTGTCTATAAAGATAGTAGGTTCAGTGGTGAACTGGTGATATGTTTTGCTCAAACTTAATCAAAACTTTAAAGATTGTAGTCTAGTGATATTTTTTTGTTTTTCAAAGTAGAAGGTTAAAGTTCAAAGAATCAAATCCCTACTGGGCAAGTGAATATGTGTGAGTGTATTTAATGACATAGTAAAATAATAATAGTAATAAATCTATAAGAGTTTAGAAATATGTTACATAGAGATTTGATTGTGTTTGTACCCAAGTGACCTATGGTTTAAGACATACGGATAAAACACATGTATGACATGATACAAAGATACCATAATATGAATAAAAATAAAAAATAAAAAATAAAAATTTAATGAATATGTCAAAAATTAATAATATAATATATTATTATTATTATTATTATTATTATTATTATATACATATAAAATATTTTTATCTCATTTTATCGGTGTAATCATAAATGAAATGACTAACTTGATGTAGCTTGGAACTATATGTTGGTCGTATTTGTTTTGAGTAATAGTATCAAAATAGCTCTTTCAAGATAAGTATTGTTTTATTAACCATGTGATTGAAATACTAATTAAACAACTTGTTTCACTTTTCACGAATCTCAAAAACTATTTTAATTCAATGGTTAATAAATAGAAAGAGCTCGTGTTTTGTCACGAGAGAATTCTCTTGGTAGTGTTACTAGTTTGGGTAAAGTACAGTCATACCCACTCAGGTTTGGCAAAAGGATACTCAGAGGAAACTTACTTGTTTTTTGGACAAAGACACCCCCTGAATGTTCAAAAATGGACAAAGACACCCATTTACATGAAAAGTTGACCAAATTACCCTTTGACTGTTTATGAGACTTTTTTAACTTTACAATTTAATAAATTGGACCAATCTACCCTCATGAATAATTTATGCATAAAAAAAAAGTAAAAAAAAAAACTTTATATAG